ATACGCCTTCTTTCCTCTGTTTTGGCGGGCATTTTAGTCAGTCAAGAAGAATAATATTATAAATAATGTTATCAAAGAACAGAGGATATTTAACTAAAACATATAGAGTTATTATCATTATTATTGAAGAAAGAAAGAAGTCTGATTAAAAAGTTTGATTAAAAAAACTCTAAAATTATTACTATTGTTTGTATTCTTGTGAAGATACATTGTACTTGAGAAAAGTTGAATAAATAGGAAGTGTTTAACCAAATATTGATTTGTGTTCCCAAATAATGAGTCCATTGCAAAATCTGAAGCATATTACATATTACTTCATTTTTGGGAATATTGATAATTTCTAGAAAGCATAACATATTTTTTATGTAGAGAATAAATTCAAAAGCATCTATATAGATGTAAATTACGGTAAATTACGGTAATTTTACCGGAAAAAAGTGTTACGGTAATTTTGCATCAAACTAAAAGTTTATTTGACCATTACGTAACAATACCGTAAAATTACGGTAATTTTACTGAAATTTTATCGAAAATAAAATTACCGGTAATTTCACATCTCTACAAATCACTGAAAAAATTGACGGTTTAAAGAAAAAAAATTTCGTACGTTTGCTAGCGGTTCAAAGTTTGCCGACTTTTACGGACCCTGAAAATCGGGGGGTTTTTCGGCTTCTCACAGCGATTATAAATAAACTAATCAAAATAAAAACTTGAAACTCCGTATTGGGCAAGCGAAATACTTATATTACATAGTGTATTTGGTCTCATATTTTTACGATTTTTTTTCACTGAGTTATAGACGTTTATTTCGAGTGGTCTCTACTTTTGACACCGACAGTAATTCGTGTATCCCTGAACTCAAGACGCGTGGCTTGCGTCACTAATAAAGTACACACACGTGATTTTTCGTAATCCGCGTGTCTTTAATTTCACCCTTTTCATAACACTTCCCCCCAATCCGCCCTAATATTAGCCTCAATCTCCAACATATATTTTTTGCAGCTCTCAATGTACTCTGCAGAAAAGGTTATAACAACAATTTTACTACCTGCCTTAGATGCCGAGATATTCATTGAAAACTGACGAATAGTAAAAATTGACTTGAACCGTTTTACCACTTTGCTACTGAATTGAAGTGTCTAAAGAATTATAATAGTTTTTAGAAGAACATATTTCCCGAAATTCCTAAAGAAAATAAATTATTTCGAATAGATGAATTATTTTTTCCTATGTTAAATGAAATTGTCCATCACGCGACGTTTCCGGAACCTCGCTAAACTCACCCGGTCAGTACACTGATAAAATGATTCATTTATTCCAAACGAGATTCGTTAACTATTAACGAATGGTAGAGTTGAATATGACCAAATGAATATTCGTTAATAGTTAACGAATGGTTCACTTGAATGGCGAAAGTCGAGTCAAACAAGGCTCCTCAAATATACATTCGTTAACTATTAACGAATGAACATTTGGTGAGACTGAATAGACCCTAACCTCCAACCAAAATCTATTCGTTAACAATAACTAATCCGTTCTATCAGTGTGTAGAGTGAATTCGGCAACGCTATCTAAATAACGACCAGAGTCGCAGGGCCGCGTTTGGTGACCAGACTAGGGTTAACCCTAGTTTGGTCACCATATGAGAACTTGCGACTTGGTCAGCTCCCCAGGGAATTGCCGCCGTGTTATTTCGGCCCGAGCGTTGCCGAATTCACTCTATACTGCCCAGGCGCGTTTAGCGAGACTTCGGCAACGTCGCACAACGGGCAATTTCATTTAACATGGGAAAAAATTGCCCGTCTGTTAGAAATAATTTTTTTCTTCAGGAATTGTTGATATAAATAATTTTAAAAAATATTATAATTTGCTAGACACTTTAATTGACGCATTCCAATTTTTTAGGATTTCTCCGCTCAGCCAGTCAATGGTAAGAAAAAAAAATCGACCTTCTGCGGCGTTTCCCTCCTATGGTGACCAACTAGGGTTAAGGATATCCAAGTAGTTCAGGCAATTTTTTCTGAATGAAATCCTCTTCGGAATGTATAAAATAGACCAAAAGTATTTTTTAGGCGCAATATCAACCTCAGCTTCCGAACATTTTTTCGAGATAACGATTTTTGAAAAATGAAATCTAACACATTGTGTCCATAAGAGCTGTACACTGAGAGAAAAACTAATAAGTTCTCAAACAAGTTTTGTTTGGACCAACAAAATCGTTAGTTAAATATTACCAAAAAAAAATGACTGGTTCGAATTTGAAAGTCTCAAACATGAATAATTGTTCTGCTTTCAACAACGAATATTTGGCTCAAGGATAAAAATATATTTTTTTCGAATATTTGGCTTTTCAGGATAAAAATATCTTTTTTGGGACTGCTGCTACGTTCACCTCGTGCCGAAAAGTGCCTTTTCGTTTACTTGTAAACGAAAAAGGCACAGTTCGGCCACTCACTGAACGTACCATCACTGTCAAAAAATATTGCTCGACACATGTGAGGCGGGAATTTTCAGCTTGTGTGATTGGCAGCCCTCGGCTTCGCCTCGGGTCGTCAACTTCACACTCGTGAAAATTCCGTCTCATTCGTATCGAAATATACTATTTTAGGCCGTGCGACGAACAATATTTTTTGTCATAACAGCTCTAGGCAGTGATTCACGGATGCGTGAAGCGTTGCCTTACGGCGGGATTGACAAAAAAAATTAAGAGCGATCTTTTACCTCGTGAAATTGATTCGAAACTGATTCGAAAAGCGGTGTAATTTCACCACATTATTATGCATGCAGTTTTGTGAACAAACTTGTCGAATATTGTGATGATTCCTTTGATTTATTAACGTTTCCGATATCTACAATTACTAACAAGCCGTATGATTTTGTTAAATCCCTGTGAAATATGTAAGCCACGTTATAATCTAATGCTATAATGTCCATCTTCTTTAGCCTGGAATTGTCTTGTAAATATGTGTATATTTATTGTATACGAGTATTATGTAATATGATTTGACCTTATAAGTGACTTCAACGGTAGGTCTTCAATAAATAAATAAATGATAAATAACAAATAGGTAGAGCTAGAAATGGAATTTCTTGTTTGCACAGAAAATAACAATTTTTTAGATCAAGTAAATCTATTTTTCAAGATCATTTTCCCATCTCAGGACAGTATTCAAATGGTCAGCACTAGATTTTCTGTTTTTTGGGTAATGTTTAACTCACGATTTTTTTTTTGGTTCAAACAAGTCTTGTTTCAGGCAATATTTTTCTTCCTCTCAGTGTACATTTTAGAAAGGAAGAGATTTGAGAAGAATTTCTTTGAGAGAGAAAAAAAACTTTCTGTAAAAATATTTGCGAACTATGAAGAAGATCAATCTGTAATCAAAATATCGAAGTCTTCTTCTTTCGGTAGTTTTTCACATTACTTATCTCTGTAATTCTAGATTCCTGAAAATATGGCCAAATTTTGTTTTAACTCCAACAGCTACTAAAGAGGTTTTCCAATATCATTCTTACAATCTAATAGTTTCCGATGTATTTCGAAATTAATTCTCATGGAATCGTTGTACATTTCGAAACAATATTCGCAAACTTTTATAATTAATTTCCAAAATAAAAAAAAAACTAGGGTAATCCATCATGTTTTCTTAATTACCTGTAACGCTGGGTCTCAAACGCCGGAACTATCAGAGCCGTTTTATCCGTGCCAGTGAGATTTAATTTCACAATATACGACATCAGATTCTCGTAAAGATTCACTTGAGGGAGAAAATCCACGTCTATCTGGAATATGTACGGCGTTGAGACCTGGGATATTGCGATGTTTCTCAGGTAATTAACAGGATAATACTCCTGGAAGATAAAGGGATGAAAAAATAATCAAATTTTCAATTGCCAATTACTGAAGTGGTGAGACGTGACGACTTGTATGAAAAAATCGTATAGAAATTTTCTATACAGATTGCGTATAGGAATGCTATAGGATTTCCGTATATGATATTCGGATATTTCCATACGAATATTTTCTATACGAATTATTTCGATACATAAATTTTTACATAAATTTTTGTTTTCGTACGAACGCAACTCGATACGAAATGTTTCTATACATGTGGCAGTAGGTCGTATAGGATCACATCTATAAAAATTGTATAGAAATAATTTGTATAAACAATATCCGTATAGAAATATCCGAATATCATATACGAAAATCCTATAGAAATTCTATACGCAATCCGTATAGAAAATTTCTATACGATTTTTTCATGCGTGGAAAACGGTCAAATCAATCGATAATTATTCTCATCTTCATGATGACATCACATCTCCATTCATCTCATCGCCATTCGTCACGAGAGGGTTAAGGGATATTTGAGAAATAATTACCACGTTTATTCTAGTATATTCCTAGAAAACAGATTTTTTGCTTCCGAAGCCTTGTAATTGTTCAGATTTAAGTTTCGGACTTTTTGTGTTATATCGACCCATTATAATCCAGAAAGTCCGAACCCGCAATTTTTAGACTGTGTGTGTATGTATGGATATAAGAAAGTTTTTCTGCAATTGTTCGCTGACCCTAGTAAAAATTGTGAGTGGCCCTGCGACATTGGCTGTGGCAGCGACATTCACGCGCAGAGTGCGCTGCCGTACTCATTTTATCGATATTAACCATCATCAATTAGTTGCGAGAGATTATTATTTATTAACAAATCGTTAATCCTTCAATAATTTATTTGAATTAATACACATAATCTGAAGATTGTGAATTCTCAATTGACGGGATTTGAGGTTAGGGCGGACACAGATAGGTACACCCCGCATAAACCTCACGCAACCCTGTCTCAGCGACCCTGCTGCGTAGCTTTTTGAGGTACATCGCCGCGAAAGGCAATGTCGCGCGCCAACTTACGCCGCGACGTTTCGGCGCGATGAAATTTCTACTAGGGGATGAATCGATGAAATTGAGTAATTTCTCTTTCTCAAATGTAGGTATGCTGCTCTCAAATGTAGGTATATTGTTGAGCCCTAACGTGGCCAGACGATTTATTCCGTCGCCTCCTCTCGCCTCCTCTCTCACATACCACCGACCCACTGAAACCGCAGGTTGATGTTTTTCATAACATCGAGTCAGTGAAATTTTTCTTGTGCTAGACAATTGAACCCACTTTACCAAGCGGCATGGTAATTGTTGCCTGAATTTCTCCAGAAAAATTCTGGAATTTTTTTCTCCGTGTATGAACTTTTGGGTGATATTTTCTTAAGATATATACCGCGATGAAATGTCAGTCTTCGTTAGAGTAGTGGACGAATTTAGCAACTTTTAATATATGGGTCACGTTAAAAAGTGAGAAAAATGAAAACGATGGTGGCAATCGATTTCGCCCCGTAAATTAACGAGAAACAACGTTTTTCATTTTCACGTTTAAAATCGTCCAAGTGCCTCTGACACTGCCATTGCCGGCTACATAGAGTTGCTTTTCGAAATGAATGTACAATCAACAAAATTCGTTTAAATTTCTTCCTATTTAATTTTTTTCTGTTCCCTCCTTCTTCCTTCTTCATTTACCGGATATTCAAAATTGCCAGAGTGCCGCCTCGTGAATAAAGGAATAGGAAACGAACTGTAACCTGATCGTCACGCTCAGTCTACCTCTCGTATCTTTACGTCTTATTTTACGGCAGTGTCCCTTCGTACCCTGACCATTACCCCTCCGCACATCGAGATAAATGCACAATTAAGGATATCCAAGTAGTTCGAGCAATTTTTTTCTAAGGGAAATCCTCTTCAGAGATCATAGAATTGGCCAAGAGCATTTTTTAGGCGCCTTATCAATCTTTGTTTCGCAACATTTTTTCGAGAAAACGATTTTTGAAAAAATGAAATTTAACACATTGCGTCCATAAGAGCTGTATTCTCCCATCTTCCATAGGCTTTGAAGCATTTTCTCGTACACATAACCGTATATGACTTCGTGTGTTATACTCTCTAGTCTTTTTGCGACATTAAAAAATATAAGTTTCCGGACAGATAATTGCAAACAATCAAATAAACTCTTTCTTACTCGCGTGGAACTGCCCGACGTGGTTACTCCCATCGCGGCGCAGCGCCGTAATGACAATCTGAGCGATCCGTTGCTACAATCCATTTGGAGAGTGGAATTACGCGAAGGTCTTTCCACTCTTTTGATCTCCCGGCAGCCACAAGTGTGGGAACGCTGTGTGAAAGATGTCCGCGACACGATCCGTCGCGCCGCAGCACGACGCCGCATTGACTATTTCCAGTTAAGATAAAAAGAAATTTTCTCTAATCAGTGGCTTCGACGGTGGTTGCAAACAGTAGATTATGCTTTTAGATAAAATCAGTGAGACATATAATTTTTTTCACATTTTTTAATGAGTTTTTTCGGAAGTTATACTAAAAACAAGCAGGGGTTCGAGCTTATCCGACAAAAGGCATGTAACCGTTACATTTTGCGTTATTAGTCTCTTTATTTTTTTCATTTCTACCAATTTCATTATGGTAGTAAGCTTCCGAATGGATCCGTAGCAATTTCCTATCCTTGTGACAGGCATCGTAACCACATGCTACCGAGTGTCTACAGGAAAATATTCAACCTTTTAATGGAAAAGATTTATACAAAAGGTTAAATATCTCCGAAACTGTTCGGCCGGTTGCGCCTATCCAAAATACCAACCTTCCGTCTTGTAAGAGTTATAATCATACCAAATTTCAACTTGCTATCGCCATTTATTCTCAAATTATCGTGCGTAGAAAACTGAAACAATTTTAAAAACGAAAAACGGGAATATTTCGAAAACTTTGTATGATCGGATATACATATATATTCTGATTGATCCAGATAGTGACTGCTGAGACGAGTATTTTGAAAAAAAATTGAAGTCGGTCAAGTAGTAGTTGCATATCTCAGGAATCGCTCGGGCGATTGCGCTCATCGAAAATATCAACCTTTAGTATTATAAGAGTTAGAACCATACCAAATTTCAACTTGCTATCTCCTTTTTTTCTCAAGTTATCGTGCGTACAAGTTTTTTTCATAAAAAACGGAAAAACGGCAATATGTCCAAACTGTGTATTAAAGAGTCTATATATTCTAATTGGCCTACATGAAGGCCGCCGATACGAGTGTTTTGAAAACAAATTTTGAAATAGGTGCAGTAGTTTTTAAGATAGTGAGGAAAAACGAAATTTAAACAAGTTGTTATATCTCAGGAACTACTGGACCAATCGAGCTGAAATAGCGCGCCAAAGTTGAGCTCAACAATAGCTACAATGAGCCAAAATTTCAGATTTTTATCTACAAATTTCATCCTAGTTATGTTGAATTTTCTAAAAATTGATCCCCAAAAACCCAAATTGTCGGATACATACACGCAGACATGACCCTAAAAACATCCTCTCGTCACGTTTCATAACATTCTATACCATTTGCAATCAAAATTAGAAAATTTAAAAATCGGTCAAATACAAGGCTTCCATTCGGAAGGAAAAAATATAAAAAATGATATTGGAACAAAATTCACTCACCCCCTCTTTGTAGACGATATGATAAGCGATATTTTTTCTCCCCCTCAATGTATCGGAGTTTCCAATAAAATCGAGAAAATACTGGAGTTCAGCATCAGTTAGGTACACAGCAATACTGATTGTTCCTGGCCAACGTTTGCACAATTCATCCAGCAGACTGATTCTATCAGCGCTGCATTGAGTAACTAAGGCGATATCCGTATTCGAGTAAATGTTGTATTCATATTCGAGGAAAAATAGATGTGTTCTGTAAACGATTGTCGAAGCCATCGTGAATTTTCCACAAGAGTCTGTGTGATTTACCTTTGGAAAATCATATTATGAAAGAGATCGAACATTTGCAGGACAGCTGGCGGTTGCTTCATTGACGAAACTATTTGTGTTTGATAGAGAGGAAATGAACTCACGTAAGTAGGTATTTCAACCTGATGGCAATAAAACAATCTTCGACGAAGTAAATTTCCGTCCATTTCGAGGAAAACTCGGTGCATTCGGTTGAAATCACTAGAGTGTTTGTTCCTGACTTCCTGTTTCCGGGGAGAATTCCAGTGGAGAATCTGCATTCAATGGAATTTAATTCTCTATTGTTAATTGCGCTGTTATTCAGAGGATGATTAATTTGAAAAAAATGTTGGAGAACTTTTTATAAATCGCAGAATTCCCTGCAAGGAATGCTCTCCGATATTTTCCCATAAGAATAATTGCACAATTGTATAATGTGAATAAAAAACGAAAAATCTCTGTCAAAAATAGTCCATTTACTCAGTAATTTCTCATTATTATAAAATTTGTAGTGCATCACGTACGAAAAAATCGTATAGAAATTTTCTATACGAATTGCGTATAGAATTTCTATAGGATTTTCGTATATGATATGCGGATATTTCTATACGGATATTTTTTATACAAATTATTTCTATGCAATTTCTATAGGTTTGATCCTATACGACCCACTGCCACATGTATTAAAACATTTCGTATGGAGTTGCGACATTTCTCTACATTTTTTTCTGGAGCGTTTAGACATCTTTCGTATGAAAACAAAAATGTATAGAAATAATTCGTATAGAAAGTATTCGTATAGAAATATCCGAATATCATATACGGAAATCCTATAGAATTTCTATAGGCAACGTGATCACAGGGGAGGGCGAAATAGATTTGAATTTTCCATGAAAATGTGAAATTTTCCGTTATTCTTATAGAAAAAAACAAAGCTTAGGGGGCGTTTTAGAATTGAGGGCGGCACGTCAAAAATTCCAGAATATTCATTGAGCCTCAATTGGATAAATCGACGTATCTTGAAAGAAAATACATATCTCGGGAGAATAATTAAAAAATCTCCACCTCGAAATTTGAATTTGAAAAGATCTAATTTCTTTTCTCCTACAAGAAATCACTACCTCAGCTGAAATTTAAAAGGGTATAATTCAGGCACTAGACATTCAGTAAGTTGTCAAACTGGACAATGTCACTAGCCATTCCAAAGCGTTTTAAATCTTCAAATTTCAACAACGAATTATTCATTAACGAGAAATATTTCTAATGTTTATTAGAAATGAAAAATTAATCATTTAAGGCCAAAATTCGAGATTTAAAAATTATAAAAAATTCATGCAAGTTCCCTATTAAATCAATATAGTTGTTAAAACAGTAGCAATTTCAATTTTTAGTGAGGATTCGCCTGAGTAATGTTTTTCCAAATTTCATCTGAGATACTGCTTTCTTGAGAGAGATATTCAGTTAGACCTTTTAGAACCAGAATATTGACTTAGATCTTTTCAAATTTCATTTTCGAGATGGAACATTTTACATTATTCTGTCGAGATATGCTTTTTTTTCCGGGCACGTCGAAATATTGAATCAAAGCTGCTGACAGATTAGGTTTCTCTTTAATACGATTGGCAGAAATTAGAACATGGGTAAAAAAAGTGAGTAGCCCAGTGATTGCCACATTTTACAAGATCCTGGCCTCATCATAATTAAGGGCCGCGTGTATTATCTTTCAAAAGTGATATTTTCGTTTTTTTTTATTTTGATAATCTGAAATGTACTTCAATCGCCATTCAGTTTTACATAGCCCTGGAGTCTTCAAAAATTATGATTGTACAATCAAAAAAAAACGTTGAAAAAAAGCTGAACATTTTCAAAGAGCGTTTTTGAATAATATTAGGGAATAAATCCAATAGGGAGGAAATTGCAAAATAATAATTTACAGTATCTAATGGCTATTCAGTCGTCATTTGTCTCAGTAGACAAAACCTGTCAGATCGTTAGCTGCCATGATATATCCATTTAAAATTTCCTCTCTGTCGGATTTATTTCCTGATCTTTATTAAAAATGCTCTTTGAAAATGTCTAGTTTTTTTCTATTTTTTTGATTGTGCAATCATAATTTTTAGGGACACCTACATGATGTAAAATCCAGTGGAAATTGTGAAATATTTTAGATTATAAAGATGGAAACACAATCGAGATAACGTTCCAAAGGAAATCCGGGCTTTAAGGCCCGGGTGTACTATCTTTCGAATGTTATCTGAATTTTTTTCATCTTTCGTAATCCAAAATTGTCAATTGAGTGGTAGATTATGTAGAAATTCCCAAAAATTATAATAGAATGATAAAAACAAAATAGAAAAAATTTTTAAATTTTTCAAAGAGCGTTTTTAATTGAGATTCAGATTGAGTTGAAAAAAGTGGAAATTACAAATATCTGATTCGTTGTGGCAAATTATCTATTAGCTGTCATTTTCCATGGTGGATAACAAAACACTAACTCCTCATGAGAAGTGACAGCTGGGTATCTTAATTTTCGAAACAGTGGTATTTAATCATCTGCCATTTTTATGTGATCAAAATGTGATTAATAAATTCTCCGAAATATTACAACTTTTTTCAAAGAGCCTTTTCCATAATAAATGTCTCTGTGCAGTGTAGGAAAAGATTTACGAAATCAGTCTTCCCCCTGCATGATATTGGGTGACAGGCCGCCGTTTGTCAGCGTAAATCAGATACATTTTTCAATTTCTTGTTATTCAACTTATTCTGAATATAAATTAAACATTCTCTTTGAAAAAATTAAGAATTTTTTTAACTTTTTTTTGATTATTCATTCATAATTTTTCAAAACTTCTGCATGATGCAGGACTTAATTGACAATTTCAGAGGACGAAAGATAAAAAAAACCTCGAGATAACGTTCAAAAGATAGTACACCCGGGCCTTAAATTAAAAATATTTCCAACTCCTCGATGGCGACGACTCTTACTGTCAAATGGAGAGTAATGAATGATATTAGATGTCCTCATCTCCATGATTAATATTAATGAATTTAAGAAGGGCCAGGGGATATTGGAGAAATAATTACGACGTTGAATAAATTGCCATAGTAATAATACGTTGTAATTATTTCCCCAATATCGCCCGACCTTTCTTAAATTACAATGAATGCTCTTTGCATTAGAAGAATTCGTTTAGAGCTACTATTTCGGTAAATTTTCAATTGATAATCCCTGAAAATCATTTGAGGCTCTTGAGGGTAACGGGGAAAATGGATCAGTGGCAATAAATTCGACATCGCACGGACGAAAAAATTTAATAGAAAAACCTATCGAATTCGTTACAAAATTCTATTGAAATGTTCAATAGAAAATAATCAGTAGAAAAAATCAATAGAATTAAATTTTTCTGTATAACTTATTCTATTGAGATATTTTCTATAGAATTTCCTCGGCTCAAATTTTCTGAGTTTTTTCGTTTGATTTTCTTGATGAGAAGAAAATAAAAATAGAATGAAAAAAAACTTGGAAAATTTAAGTCGAGCAAATTCTATAAAAAATATATGAAAAGAATAAGTTATATAGAAAAATCGAATTCTGTTGACTTTTTCTACTAAGTGTTTTCTACAGAATATTTCAATAGAATCAGTCAAAAACTAATAGAAAGTTTGATAGAAATTCAATAGAATTTTCTAACGAATTCGATAGGTTTTTCCATTGAATTTTTTCGTGCATGTGACGATATTGATCATCATAAATATACCTTTATCTTCTCAGTATTCCTGTAGCACTGTTCACTCAACGTGTGATCACTCAACTGCACATTCCACGCACAGTCCAATGTGTAAACAACATATGGGTATTTTTTAATAACAGCATTGATAACATCTTGATCAGCTAAACTAGTAAAATTTGAAATATCCCTCAACACTTCGTACGTCGTATTCACCCACAAATCGTGAAATTTTTTTCTCCTCAAAACCCTGAGATTCATCAACATAATCCCAGTGTTGTAGCCCCTGCCCACAGCTGGCCAAGGACTTTGTCCATATGCAAGAGTTTTTTTGTACCAGTCGCTCTGGTTCTCAGCTAATCCCAGCATGTGTTGACTGTCGAACTGCTTGAATCTGTCCCAGAGACTTGAGAGATCTGTGAGAACTGTTACGTCTGTATCAAGAACTAGAACGTAATCCTCACTCAGTGCTTCGGGAAGAATGAGCTTTAAGAGACCGTAGACACCTGAGTAGTGCTTATTGGGGATCCATGATACCTTTGGTATCCAGGGCTCCGCTGGATAAAATGATACATTCACTGAAGAAGAATTAGTAGAGTTGAATGTGAGTCGCAATGGTAGAAATTCTTGGACAGCTTAGTAGTCATTTCCAGGAGAGTAGAATTGATTTCGATTTAGGGTGGAGTTTCATATTTTGAACAGTTGGAAGACAAGAATTTGCTGACATACTTAAATTTTGAATGGAAAGATGAATATTTAGTACCAAATTGTTCTGAATTTTCTATCAATTGAAAATGAAAGAATATATTTACATTGAACTTTCCGGATTTTTATTAGTATTTATCAATTTTTATGAATTTATTGGACTAAAACGTAGAGTTTTGATGGATTTTTCATTAAATTATGAATTTTCCACGACGAAATTCTTGTCGAATGCACTCCATTTTCGAACTGAATTTTTTTATTTTTCATGCGTATTTTTGTTTGTATCTTCTAGTTCAGAAACGGTTTAAGTCAATTCTGACTATTGGCTAGTTTTCAATGAATATCTCGGAATCGAAGAGAGATAGCGAAATTTTTGATACCTTTTTTTTGTAGCACTCAATTCGCTCTACAAAACGGTTAATACCAAAATTTCGTTATCTCCCTTAGATTCGGAGATATTGCTCGAAAACTGAAATGAGAGCTTAGTCGACTTGAGAATATCCAAGTACTTTGACTTTTTTTCTCCAGTGAAATGCTTTTCTACTTTTGTAGACGAAATTTCACCTTAAGCCTTCGGACATTTCACAATGATTTTATTATTTAAACTTTGCAGGTCTGAATTGGAATCTCGATATCGAACCGTTCGAAACTATTTTAAACATTTGAAAAAAAATTAGAAAGTTTATTTTTGGCGGAAGATTGATGGAATAATAATTTAAAAAATGCAATTTTTGAAAATGACGAGCATTTTCTATAAATAATTTATAAATAATAAATTTTTCACCATAAAAATCATTTGTTCGGAATCGTAACAAATTTATTCATATTCAAATTGTACCAGAAAGCGATTCAATGCCTAAAAAAATAAAGTTCCCGCAAATTTTAACAATTTTAATTATTTATTTATAAACAATGGATGTTTAAAAAATTAATCATTATGTGCAAAATGTAATTTTATTGACATTGAATATTCATGTTTTTTTTTCAATTTTTCTTACGCAATTTAATTGACAAATTTGATGGTTGAAAATAATTGAATTTGTAGTGTGGTCTGCCAAACTATAAGATATTGGCTATTTGTTCTCCAGTGAAACGCTTTTCTAATTTTGTAGATAAACATCAGAACTTTCCTTTGAGCCTCGTTCGAACCTAAGTTTCCAGACATGTTATTTAAACTGGGCGATACTAAACAGTTAGAAAAAATTTTCAAAATCTGAAAAAAAATAGAAATTGTATTTTTCGAAGAAGATTGGCGAAATAATTCAAAAATTGCAATTGTTGAAAATTATGACCATTTTCGATACATAATTTATAAACAATAAATTTTCCACCATAAAAATAATTTGTTCGGAATCGTAAGAAATTACCAAAAATCGATTTAACGCCTAAAAAAATAAGGTTTCCGAAAATTTTAACAATTTCAGTTATTTCTTTATAAACAACGAATGTTTAAAAAAATAATAATTCAATGTAAAATGTAGTTTGATTGACGCTGAATATTTATGATTTTTTTTCAAATTTTCCTCACGCAATTTAATTGACAAATTTGATGATTGAAAATGGTTGAATCTATAGTGTGGTCTGTACCAAACTGTAAAAGATACTTGGAGATCCCAAAACCCTTTACCCCTGCGCTAGTGAGTTTTCAAGACATTTTCAGATCAAAATGAGATGCATTCGATTCATCTTCCTATAAGTGTAAAGAATATTTGGGGATTCTTCTGTGATCATCTACAGAAAATCTGATCACGTGATATAAACGTTCAAATCAATACCTTGTGGCAAATCCCAGGTAATAAATAAAGTTTCTATGGTTTTTCTGGATATTTCATCCACTAGAAGATGAAAATGCACCGGTCGTGAGCGATGAAAAATAATGGACTTGACTACTGTTGCTAGAGATTGAGTGGCGTTGTATCCGGCGCAAACCAGAGCAATATTTAGCGGATTACAATTCTTCTGAAATAGTTTAACAAACATATCATTCGACATGTACCAAAATATCCTTCAACCCGCAAATAAACGAAAGGCGAAAATGAAACTCACTTGAGCGTTTTCGTTGAATACTTCTGGTTTATTGAATTCGAAGATGTCAGTGGTTGGTATTTTCGGTGTAATAATGGTAATCACATTTGGAGATTTCAACTTGCCTGCTTGTCCTGAGAATAAAGCAGTTGATTAAATTTATGCCTGTATACAATGATTTCCATTTCGTGATTTTCCTTTGCGTTATGGAAATGATCTGATTTAGACTAAAATATCAAGAGATATTTTTACACCATAAGATTTCACACAAGAAAACTCATCTAAAAATAATGTTCTTAAACCCTTTCCGCCAAGCTAACTTTAACTTTTGACGTTAATTATTGCAAGAAACATATTTTTTCACGAATGGCCATTGCCCGAGGACCTTCAACCTAGAAAACACTTCTTTTGTACAGTATCAAATTATCTCTATCATGAGCTGTGTACTTGTGATTCAATGTTGATGGTAATTAGATGTAGTCTAGTTCAAAAATCAGTATCATTTACCATTTATTCATGGTGAAAAATGTTCTAGACAAAATAATCCTAATCAAATTCATCCAGATGCAGGTAGTCATGTAGAATATTCTGAAAATTGGTGATCATATTCACAAAACTATTTTAAAAATTTATGCATTAGTAATTTTTTTCAAGTTGAATTATCAGTTACAAAAGAATGAAAATTCCAATTTTTGAACGGTCAGAGATAATTTTGACCTGCAGAATGGGATTTCCGAGAAAAGATCATGCCAAAAATATTAGTTCAAGCAATGTTTCCTCGAAAAAAGGAAACGTTTTTTCCCGGAGGGAACCTCACTTAAGAAAAAAAAATTCTATTTGAAATTGTATCACTGATTGCAATGTCTGTGTGATATTTAGTATAAAAATTGATAGGATAGTCTCAATAGGTGACTTCCAAATAATCGAACAAGTTTTTTTTTATTTATGAGGTATTCATTGTCGAATGAGTCAACGGCTGACTCTCACTTTCTTGAAAATTGATCTCGATTTTTTCTACGATTGGGGGACTAGAAAAATTATCTCTCAATTTTTTCAGATTTTTTTAACAGCCCAGCAATTTCGGAGACATGATTTTTTCTTTGTTTTTTCGTTTTTTTCAATAACTCCAGTTCTATTCATCCAATTTTTATTTATGACGCGTTAAAATTTTCGATTTTCTACCATCTAGAAGAATATTTTGAGTAATTTTCAATTACCCACCATAAAAATCATTTGTTCGAAATCATAACAAATTTATTCATTATGACAGGTTTACATTTGAATAATTTAAATTAATTATCTATAAACAATGAATGTTTGAAAAAATCACAATTCTGTGCAAAATGTAATTTTAATGACGCTGAATATTCATTACTTTTTTCAATTTTTCACGCAAATTAATTGAGAAATTTGATGATTGAAAATCCATAGTGTAGCCTGTAACAAACTGTAAAAGATACTTGGATATCCTTAATTTCATAACAACTGCCTTGATCAGAAAATATCACAAGATTGTTTTGTTCAAGTATATCCAAATACTTTGACTATTTTTTCTCTCCAGTGAAATGCTTTTCTACTTTTGCAGTCGAACTTCAGAGGTTTCATTGAAGCCCCATTTGACCCCTGGTTTCCAGACATTTTGCAATGATTTTATCATTCAAACTTTGCAGATTTGAATTTAAATATCAATATCGAACCGTTAGAAAACATTTAAAAATCTGACAAAAAAAAATTTGAAACTCTTCTTCTGAAGAAAGCTTGATGAAATAATTAAAAAATTGCAATTTTTGAAAGTTATGACCATTTTTCGCAAATAATTTATAAACAATTACTTTCCCACCATAAAAATCATTTGTTTGGAATAGTAAGAAATTTATTCATATTCAGAATTTTGCCAGAAATCGATTCCATGCTTGAAAAAACGAACAGATTAATCAATTTCAATTATATATTTATAAATAACGAGTTAAAAAAAATTACAATTATGTGCAAAATGTAATTTTAATAACACTGAATATTCGTGTTTTATTTTCAAATTTTTCTCACGCAATTCAAGTGACAAATTTAATGATTGAAGATGGTTGAATCTATAGTGTAGTCTGTGCCAAACTATAAAAGATACTTGGATACCCTTAACTGCATAACAATAGCCTTAACGAAAAAATGTCACAAGATGTTTTTCGTTCAAAATTGAATGACTTGCAAGAACCACCTTCTGACATTTCTCCCTCAAATAATTAGTTCGGAAAAACGTCATGCTGAACTGATGAAATTTATTCACTCTATTCTCAGTCGACAATTAAATTCACCTTGACTTCATAAAATTCTTCATTTCAATTTCAACTTACCACGAAAAAAAGTATAAAAACAGATGATAATTAATACTGTGAGGAGGAATACGAAGCACTTTAGCCATGATCGAGCCATTGCCATACGCCACACATGTCTGTTTATTTTCGATAAAACATGTAACAAACAGTTCGACTGGATATCTGCATAATAAACGAGAATTACAACATTCCATTAAACTTCAATGAAGTAGATTAAACAAACAAAGTGACAGATTAATATTTAGTCAATTTAATTACACAGTATTACCTCTTCCATTCATATTAGTTCCATCGATATTATTGTTTGATCACTCTCATCATTTTTCACATTCCAATAAACCTCACAACTTTGGTGTAATCAAATGACATTGACGAATTATAATTGCCTCGTTAATTTAATGGAACTAATGGAACGAATGAGCACTCGTTTGTTTTATTCCATTTGTATTTTCTAATTCAATGTAGACTCGAGCATTGTATGCTCAACTGATGACACTGAATCCACTGATTGTCCACTGAGAAATGCGGAAGCTATGGTGAACACAACTGATTTCAATTGTGAATAGAAACATAACCTCTTTAACTCATCTGAACTGCCTGTTGCCTTCTCCACTCGACGTGTCATCTCTCCCCTCCACAGACGATTGAGCAGCAACAATTGGGGAGTGGGAGTGGAGAAACATATGATAGTTTTTTTCACTGTGAAGTGAAAAGAACAAACTTTCTCAAGGGGAAACGCAACTAAACCCCTGTGTCTATATGAATTTATTGAATTGTGTCTTCGTCTATAATTATTAGTTTATTTCTATGAAATTACTTTATCGATTCCATCATTGCATTCTTGAGTCAGTGATGTAGTTTCATAAATAAAAAATAATAATTGCAGGATAAAATACAATTGTAGAAAGTTCATACACGTATGAAAAAATCGTATAGAAATTTTCGATACGGATTGCGTGTAGAAATTCTGTAGGATTTCCGTATATGATATTCGGATATTTCTATACGAATATTTTCTATACGAATTATTTCTATACATAAATTTTTACATAAATTTTTGTTTTCATACAAAAGATGTCTAAACGATCCAGAGAAAAACGTGGAGAAATGTCGCAACTCCATATGAAATGTTTCTCTACATGCCGCAGTGGGTCGTATAGGATCAATCCTATAGAAATCGTATAGAAATAATTTTTATAAAAAATATCCGTATAGAAATATCCGAATATCATGTACGAAAACCCTTCGGCCGGGCCACGCTGTACTTTTGGATATTTTTAGTTTTTAAATTTTTCAACTAAATTGCATGGAAAAAATTAAAAAAAATTCGTACCCAGTCAGTATTATCTAAATTAAATTTCGCAAAATATTGATATTTTTTCAAACATTTCCCTCTTATAAATAAATAATAAAACTTGTTTGCAAGTTTGCAAGTGCACGGTGGATTATTTTTTATGAGGTGTCAAAAAAATTCTTGATTTTTCCACATCTAATGAAAAAAAATTCAGATTTTAATCTTTGATTACAATGGGAATGTTGATTTTCACATAAGACACTGGATTAAATCTTGATTTTCTAAACATTTCTTCTTTGAAAAACCAAAACGATAATTAAATTGAGAAAAATTAGAATTCCAAATCTAATCGAGTTTTCTCCAATTTTTTTGCAGTTTTCAATAATCTTTGAATTTACCGTAAGCTAGGGTAGAGCTAACTACTTTAAAGGAAGATTACTATGAGTTTCAAAAGTCGTGGGATATTTCGAGTGAGATTTCTCATGCTTTGAAGATCGATTATATATGTCTAAAAACGAATAATTAGTGCAAAAAGATAATTGTTTATTGTTCGTTTATTCCGCAGGCGCTTAAGATGTTAAAAATAGTCCAGGGCCTCCAATTTTTGAGCTGCAGAGGTTTTTTTTTCAAAATTTTTGAGAAAAATGTGAACAATAACAATTATGAATTCGTTTTTTGAAAAAAAAACCTCTGTAGCTCTAAAAATGGTGGCCCTGGACTATTTTTAACATTTTAAACGTTTGCGAGGTAAACGAACAATAAACAATTTGTTTTTTTGCACTAATTATTCGTTTTTACACATATATAATCGACCTTCAATGTACGAGAAGTCTCATTCCAGTAGCTCGCGACTTTTAAAACTCATAGTAATCACTAGGAGATTGCGTTGAGCTTGGAATATCATGTTTATCGAAATGAAGGTATCTCTACGTTTCCCCTATATTCCATATGTCAAAAATTAATCAGTAGTGTGAGAAAACTCATTTTTTATTGTCCGTGTAGAAGCCTCAAATGATATAATTGGAAAAAAGCTCCAATGTTTTTAATTTTTGCAAAACACGACTTTTTTTTCTTTATTCTAATTTAATAGAAAAACCCAACGAATTCGTTAGAAAATTCTATTGGATTTCGATCACGGAAAAAACCTGAATTGAGTGCAAAATATACTTGATTCAAGTATATTTTATTATACTCAATTGGGGGATGGGTGTTTCATTTCAAAGATGATTGTTTTGTATCAGGCCAGGTTGTAGCAAGCCTTCTCAAGTGTAATATAAGGATCAGGCACTAACTGTCAGAATATAAAGGTCAAACAGTGGTGGTTAAAAAATGAGGGTCAGAATATTAGAGTCAAAACATTAGGGTCAGAATATAAAAGTAAAAAAAGGGTCAGGGCAGTTTAGGGAATCAGGGTCTAAATTTAAGTCATATATTATGCTTGATCACCGTTTGTAGCCCTTATATGACTCTCATTGCCTGACACCCATTTTTTTACTTTTATATTCTGACCCTAATTTTTTTATCCTAATATTCTGACCCTCTTTTTTTAACCCTAACATTCTGACCCTCATTCCTTCATCTTTACATTCAGGCTCTCCGTTTTCGACTCTAATATTCCGACCCTGATTTTTAATCTCCACTTTTTGAACCTTGTGTTCTCACATTTAGTGTCTGATCCTTATATTACACTTGAGAGCGCTTGGTATACCCCGGGCTGATGCGAAATAATCATCCTCGAATTGAAACATTCATCCCCCATTGAAGTATAAAATATACTTGAATCAAGTATATTTTATTCTTGAATCAGGTTTATGCATATGCTTGATCCTAGTATAAAATATACTCAATTTAAGAATATTTTTTTTACGTGATTGATCTTTCTATTTGTTTTTGGCCGATTCTATTGAAAATGTTCAATAGAAAGTTCAATAGAAATCCAATAGAATTGTCTATCGAATTCGCTAGGTTTTTCAATTACATTTTTTAGTGCGTGGTCATTTACATAATAAGTAAGCAACATCACTTATCTATATTTCACCTTTTTTATTATCATATTAAATTGGTCAACACTTTACGTATCATAAATAATTATTCATTCATCATAATAATACAAAAAGTTCATTAATTATAATGTTCATTTATTTTATTAAATTGCAATGAATTGCATTCCACTGAGTTTCATTTAAAAAAATCAATATTATTCATTTGTACTTGTAAAAATATTAAAAAATTCCAGCAATACTAATTAACGGATGTTTTGATAGAGATGGTCATGAGAATGTGGAACATGTTTTGAGGATCATGAAATAGCTGGTGAAGTTAATGAGATCGTGTAAGCGCAGCTTTCCGCAATTGTAAAATTTCATCATGAATTTGTAAGGGTGAATTGANGGTCAGGGCAGTTTAGGGAATCAGGGTCTAAATTTAAGTCATATATTATGCTTGATCACCGTTTGTAGCCCTTATATGACTCTCATTGCCTGACACCCATTTTTTTACTTTTATATTCTGACCCTAATTTTTTTATCCTAATATTCTGACCCTCTTTTTTTAACCCTAACATTCTGACCCTCATTCCTTCATCTTTACATTCAGGCTCTCCGTTTTCGACTCTAATATTCCGACCCTGATTTTTAATCTCCACTTTTTGAACCTTGTGTTCTCACATTTAGTGTCTGATCCTTATATTACACTTGAGAGCGCTTGGTATACCCCGGGCTGATGCGAAATAATCATCCTCGAATTGAAACATTCATCCCCCATTGAAGTATAAAATATACTTGAATCAAGTATATTTTATTCTTGAATCAGGTTTATGCATATGCTTGATCCTAGTATAAAATATACTCAATTTAAGAATATTTTTTTTACGTGATTGATCTTTCTATTTGTTTTTGGCCGATTCTATTGAAAATGTTCAATAGAAAGTTCAATAGAAATCCAATAGAATTGTCTATCGAATTCGCTAGGTTTTTCAATTACATTTTTTAGTGCGTGGTCATTTACATAATAAGTAAGCAACATCACTTATCTATATTTCACCTTTTTTATTATCATATTAAATTGGTCAACACTTTACGTATCATAAATAATTATTCATTCATCATAATAATACAAAAAGTTCATTAATTATAATGTTCATTTATTTTATTAAATTGCAATGAATTGCATTCCACTGAGTTTCATTTAAAAAAATCAATATTATTCATTTGTACTTGTAAAAATATTAAAAAATTCCAGCAATACTAATTAACGGATGTTTTGATAGAGATGGTCATGAGAATGTGGAACATGTTTTGAGGATCATGAAATAGCTGGTGAAGTTAATGAGATCGTGTAAGCGCAGCTTTCCGCAATTGTAAAATTTCATCATGAATTTGTAAGGGTGAATTGAAGTAAAAGTTAATGAAAAGTATTGACAGAAGTCGTTGGGACTATCGTGTCTTTGACATATTGAGAAAATCAAACGTGATTAATTAATTTCAGTCGTTTTGCTGGGGTAAGTGGTTGGCTCTTCATCCTCATCAATTTTTCGCATTCTCTGTAGCTCTGTCGTTCGGGATCTGAAAAGTAATTCCATCCAGTTTTAATTGCTTCTCGGGCTTCTGATCATGAGGTTACTAAGCTAATAATTTCCATAGGTACGGTTGCGCCAAGTCCAGCGAAGAAAATCCTCATTTAAGGGGAGACCGCGGTGAACTTTGAAACTCGCTGGGTATTATAGAAACGATTGTGAAAGTTTATAATATGTGTTGTAAGTGAAAGAAAAAGTGAGAAAAAATCGAACTCCAAGATTTTTGGAAGGTTCTAAAGGGTCAAAACGGGTCAAAATCTACAAAAACGTTCTAGTCCCTCCAGGGATCGCCACGAATATTAGATTTTGATAATATTAAGGAGGATTATCTCTTCATATTGTTCAAAGTTTAACTATATTTAACAAATTTAAAATATTATAAAATTTAATAACTCAATTTTCCGATTGATGGTGAATAAAATATTTGATAATATTGAAATGTAACTTTTTAGTTAACAAGCTGAGTGCCTCAATTTTCGACTGATTGAGCTAAAATTTGGATGACAAATAGTTGAAATATGCAAAAAAAATTATAGACGGATTTTAAAAATATTGATTTTTTATATGTATTTATATTTTTTTCTCCCCAGTGGTATGCCCTAATTTATTATAATATGGACGAAATTCAAGTCCATACTATCTTAATGAAGTACAATTTTTTTCGGATTGTTCTAACTATTTCTTCTCCATTTTAAAAATATGTTGATGTTGATGATCGAATTGACATGCAGTATTTTATGCAGACCTTTTTTCAACATAACTTTTACTGGTTGTAACATACCATGAATTATGACAGAAAATTTGTAATTTATTAAGATAGTATGTACTTGGATTTCGTTCATATTATAAAAAATTAGGGCATACCATTGGGGAGAAAATAAAATCTGTCTATAATTTTTTTTGTGCATATTTCAACTGTTTGTAACCCAAATTGAGGCACTAGGACGTTTTTGTAGATTGTGAATTCGAAGTTCGATTTTTTCTCACTTTTTTTTCACCTACAATACGTATTATAGACTTTTACAATCGTCTCTATAATACCCAGAGACTTTCAAATTTCACCGTGGTCTCCCCTTCAGTATCAGAATAAATCAAAAGAACTGGGAAATTGGTCTTGTATTACATATGAAGTATTCCACGCCAAATGAGTCAACTGCTGACCCTCACCCTCTTGGAAATTGATCGCGATTTTTTCTACGATGGGGGGGGGGGGGGTTAAACACTAGCTCTCAATTTTTTTGAGATTTTTTCGGCAGCCCAATTTGACGATATGATTTGTTTTCTTTTTTCCGTTTTTTTAATAACTCAAGTTCTATCCATTCTATCCATTCGATTTTGAAGAATATTTTTAGTGAATTTTTTTTGCAATCTCTAGATGCTCATAATAACGAATTAAAAAAAAAAAAGTTGCAAAACTTGAATTTTGCAAATTACGTGACGGTTGATTTGTTTCATTTTTTTCAGTAATTCTTATAATCAAAACAAGTATTTTGAGCCATTATAAAAGTGGGGCAGCCTCCTGGATCTAATTTATTTCTAATTGTTCTTTTCGAAATTCCACAAAATTGGTCAAAACACCCCAAAATGACGTTGATTGATTTCGATTGTAGATAATATGAAGTGAATTTGACTATATACCTATATATTATATATTTTTTCGGTAGATAAGTCGTATTTTGAATTTCTGTTCAAATTTTTCTCTTGAAATTGATGCGCAGACATTCTTACAAAAAAACCCAAGAGAAAAATTCAAACAGAAAGTCGAAATCTATTGACGTTTTCTTATCGAACATCCAATAGATTCAGGGCAAAAAAATATAATTTTTTTTAAATTTTTTTTTTCAATAAAATTTTAATAAAAATCCTATAGAAACCTCATAGGATTCCTATAGAATTCCAATAGAATTTTCTTGCAAATTCCCTAGGTTTTTTATAGAATTTTTTCATACATCTCCAACACGTAAAAAAAATGTTCCCTACCCGGATCAAAAGATACTGCATCAAATCAGGGATCTCCATCAATATTAAACTTCTGTAATATTACACGGATTTGACCCTTACATTATTGAAGGTTTAAAATATGTTGATTCAATTTTTCCAAATAATATAATATTAATAATCTGATTTTAACGAATAATGAATTATTTAAAATTTGTTAATATGAAACTGTAAATTTACTACTAAGTGAATAATTCAAATTTGTTGAAAGGGGACTTTCGATTACCCAAGTAATTGTCAATCTTCCTACCTCAAATTATTGATTGATAAAATAGTTAAAAATTTGAATATTTGAATTGATGATACTTAATTACTCAAAAAATTTCAAGGTCATCTATTTAAGGGCTCCAAAAGTAATCGTAATAAAAAATTACAAATTTGGCTATGCCTGCATCAAATAGTATATAAACATCTATTAAACACAGAGAGATTAATAATAACAAGCGACGCAAAATTATACCTTATCTGTGATTGCTCCTGCTCCCGTTCTTTTCTCCTTCCCTGAACGACTCTGAATGCTCCGCAGATAATAATCATTAGAATTGGAATTAAACATCCGAGAATAATTCCAAACGTTATACCCGCCTGTCGAGAGCTGTACTCCTGCTGACCTATTAATTAAAATCTCCATTGTGACAATGCAAAGTCAATTACAGACAATAACAATAGAATTCAAATGAGGACATGGAAATTTCAGTAGAGGCAGTACGGAAATTTCCACTCCACACTAACCAAAATTATTGATCATTTAATTTATAAAGACAGTTCATTCGTGTCTACTGTAATTTTGTCATTGTGGAATAGAAATTTCCTTCTTTCTTTGGATCGTACACATTTAGAATATTTTATTACGAAAACTTACAAAATTATACAATTCGGTGATAGATACATATTTACATATGTAGTACATATATTTTAGAATTAATTAATAGAGATTTTTCTATTCCACATTGTAAAGTACAGTTAACACTAAATATTATTCTTAGAGTTAATACTTATTGTATTAATGGTTTTTGATGTTTTTTTTTTGAATCATGATCTTTTCTTGAACTGACCTGATGGGTATAACGCTAATTCTTAAAGTTTATGATGAAAAATTTCATTGTAATTGGGAAATATTCCAATTTTTTATTGGCATTTCTTTGTTTCAATTTAGTGGCTACGAATACTCGAATTGTTTTTGCTTTTACATTTCTATTACAGTTATTTTGCAATGCTAAATAATTGTAATATAAATAATATTCAATTGATATGCTAAATAATTGTCTAAATAATATTGACGGTCAAAATTTATTTGGTCATTTCATGCTTACGACCAGTCGTCATTTTTTCTGACCATATGGTCAGATTCTCGGCACGGTAATTACCGGTCATGATGATGGTAATTGACGGTCATTTTTTCCACTTACATATCTAGTCCTCGCCTAGAAAAAGGACCAATTAAATTCAAATGCAGGTTTAAGTAGATTTCACATTGCAGACTTATCATTTTTTTACGCAATTAATTGAAATAGATTCCAGCAATTATCTGTTATAGAAAATAATCTCAAGAGACAGTTAAAAAAAAATATTTCCTGACATTAATTTCCCATATCTTTCATTACCATTACAGAATAATTCTTCACTCTATTGCATCCTCTGATGACAACCAATTTATCTTATATTAAAGAACTGAACCGGGAATTTGGAAATCGATGCATTCACCAATAAAATATACTGATTCCAGTCGACGTCGGCTTGATTCTAGTCGATTTTCGACCTGTTTCAAATCGAGGGACTCGGAATGTATGACTCCGAGTTTCGGACTTAATATAATCAGAAAAGTGGATTATTTCGAGAAGAAACGTATCAAGCCGAAATCCACTTGAATCAAGTCACAATTCGATTTGAATCAACCCGAAAAATCGACTTTAATCAAACCGGCTTGATTCTAGTCGATTCTCGACCTATTTTTAGTTGAGTGACTCGCACTCTGTCACTCCGAATTTCAAACCTGATATAAACCGAAAAGTGCGTTATTTCAAGATGAAACGTGTCAAGCCGAAATCGATTTGAATCAAGCCGAAATTTAACGTGAATCAAATCAGCTTGATTCTAGTCAATTTTTGACCTCAGTCAAGTCAAGTGAATCGAACTCTATCACATCGAATTTCATACCTGATATAATCCGAAAAGTAGGTTATTTCAAGATGAAACGTGTCAAGCCGAAATTGACTTGAATCAAGCCGAAATTCGACTTGAATCAAACCGAAAAATAGACTTGAATCAAGCCGAAATTCGACTTGAATCAAACCGAAGTCGATCTGAACCAAGTCGAGAAATCGACTTGAATCAGACCGATGTGCCGGTTTGCATCTCTCCGAGTCATACCGATTCAGCCCGACGATCCGTTATGAAATAAATCGATTCCCGCCATGATTCAGTCCAACTTAATTCAACCCGATTTGTCAATTTGATTGAAGACAATTTTTTTACGTGAATTTATTCGATTAAGACGGATTGAATTATCTCTCCGGATGAAACCTAAACATCGCTCTCTTTGCTAGGGCTCGCGGTCTTCCTCGCGCTATCATTAGTAGAATCAGACTCAGTGGGTGACGTAGAATCTTTGAGATCCCAGTCTTTTTCCTCGAACTCGACATCCGGCCTGTCGGGCAATGGCTCATGCGTGTAATAAACCTTATCGTAAAGCCGACGTTTGGTGATAGTACTACTTGCAACGGTGCTATTATCGCTCTGAGGTGATACAGTCCTTTCGGATGATTTCAGAGGTGTCGTTTGTCGCGACAATGAGCCAAGCCCCGAGCCGTGATCCGAAAAACGCCAGGATCTCGTTGAACCCTCTTGTTTTCCCTCTTTACGCAAACAAAAACATACAGCTGCTATGAGTGCAATTGCCGGCACAAGCACTGCACCTATGATTCCCATTGTCATCCAGGCTGTCCGCTGGGAATACTCGACCTGACCTACAGACGTTTTAAATTGATTAGCGCGTCTGGTGATAAGAGAGTTGAGTTCAACATCCGTTGACTGTATTGTGTAGGCTTGCTGACCTGAACTAATTCTCTCGTATTCTTAAATAATTGATGTGAGACAATCATAAAATTTTTTAAGATAATCAGTACGCTTAAAAATGTATGAGATTGAGTCAAACTAATGTAAATACAAATGTAAAAAATGTAAAAAAATACCCTTTTTGTAAAAACGATTGTGGTCACTTGAATAAACTACATTTCATAAAAAGAGATCTTTGAAATCTCAAAATAAGGATTTTTTTCCGCGTGTGGAACATATCTATACGATTTTACCGTACCTGTGAACTAGCCGAATTGTGGCATTGTTTCAACACATGAGTTAATTTTGAAGAGAATGTCAGGAGACATTTCTTATTGGATATTATTCCAGCAAAGAAGAGTGAATCCTCAAGTCACTTTCGAGAAATGTCAGGAATAATTCGATGAGGATCAAATCCCCATCACATTGCACTAATTGCACTAATTGCAATTGCATCATGTTATAAAAATAATGACGTTTTCCGAGACTCGGCGCATAAATCAAAAGAACGATCATGACAGTTGATACCTGCAATCTAATTGTCTTTTATTTTCGAATATTCACGTTTCGATCTCCTCCAACGATAATGGAAAAATTACAGGGATGTGTGTGATTATACAGTTCTCTTGACAATGCATAATCTAAAGTGAATGTGACAAGTGATATTTCCTGCAGCTACAAAAAATAAGTGGGACATTGCTTTCGTCACAACATAGTCAATATATTTTTGCTAGTAAATTAGCAATTTTCTTCCGAATTGAATTTCAATGTCGATGCATTTTTAATTGACTTCAATGATTTACTGAATTCAACATTGCCCCAAGGTTGGCAAACAACATTACCGCAATGTTGGTAGTCAACATTTCTTCAACATTAAAATTTTTTACCTTCCTCTGAATATGGGTTTCAAAAGACATTTTTTCAACAACAGATGTTACAATCAATCGCACGATCGAATTGGGTCAGGATGGCATTGGGAAGAACATTTTAAATGATAGTTGGATTCATTTAAACGATTATTTTTTCAGTTATCGTCGAAAAACGATCGGTCCCACACACACGGTTCCATGACTGTTTAACACAAAAGAAGAAATTCAACATGTTACAACTCAACACAACCCCAATTCAACACAAAACGAATCAACATCCAGTAAATTCAATACATCATGGATTGAAAAATACATTCACTCAAAGCATAGGGGAGGGTAGAGCAAAACGGAACCCTAGGGCAAAAAGGACCACTGACAGAAAATTGATAATTTTTGTTTTTGCTTTTGAATGGAAGCAAAAACAAAAGTTCAAAGTCATTTGTGGATTGAGGTGATTAGCAAATCTCATCAAATTGCGGTTCAACGACACTTGTTGTCTATAAAACCCCTGTGACTGTTACGATCCAAGAAACTCACTTTTAATTCAATACATTCAGTGTTCCTGATTTGAAGGAAAAAAAAACAAAAATTACCAATTTTCTGTCAGTGGTCCGTTTTGCCCTGCGGTCCGTTTTGCCCTACCCTCCCCTAACAAATTATTTCACTTGCTCCTTTATTAAAAACTCTTTCGCATAGCAATTTCTCAAAAAATTCTGATAATCAAAACATAAACACTTCTTCATAAAACACAATCAAGTGTTTGAGTTAACCCTAGATTGGTCACCCTATGAGCGAAACCCCGTCGTGCGTCGTTTTTTTCCATTACAATTGACTGGCTTAACGAAGAAATTGAAAAAAAATTGACTTTGTTAATTTTAGTGTCTAAAAAATTATAGTAGTTTTTATAACAATATATTTCCCAAAATTCCTACAGAAAACTAATTATTTCGGATTGATGAATTATTTTTTCCCATGCTAAATGAAATTGTCAATGACGCGACGTTGCCGGAAACTCACTTAACGTGCCCGGGTAGTATAGAGTGAATTCGGCAACGCTAAAGCCTAAATAACACGGCGGGGAATCCCCGCGGAGGTGACCAAGTCGCAGGGGCGCATTTGGTGACCAGACCCAGGTTAATAGACCTTTTCATCCTGAAAGTCACTAGATTTTCGGACAGTTTTTTTCCCATGTTAATTCCTCTAGGAATTTCGGACACTTCTGCCGAATTTCCATATCAATCATCATTTTTCAGGGCTCAAATCTATATCATCTTGAATGTTAATATTTATCAGAATTTTTCATTATTTTTCCGAAGATTTTTGAGTTCGATGAACGGAATAAACTTTTCCCCTAGATTTCCAGAATGAAAAGGTCTATATCAGGGTTGGGTCGTTCACGGAAAATCGGAGTTTTCTACGGTACATAGTAGAATACTGGTCATTTACCTCTAAATGGGGAAAAAAGGTAAATAACTGGTAGAAAATCCCTTAACCCGACTATCAATGCAGTAACCGTCGTGAATGAATTCCACAAGGGTTATACCTTACGAGGGTTAAACGTCACGAAGGCCACACCTTGCAAGGGTCCAACGTCACGATGATCATACCTAGCAAGCGTCAAAGGTCATGAGGGTCATATCTTGCATAGATCAACCCTCGCGAGGGCCAAATGTGGCACAGGTCAGATCTCGCAAGGATCCTGTCTCGTGAGGGTCAAACGTCGCAACGGTCATATCTCACAAGGGGCCGACGTTGCAAGGTTCAGAGCTCGGAAGGGTTGACCTTTGAGATTGTCCTGTGCCTACGTCTGTTGTTTGACCGTTCCAAAGTTTGACCCTTGCGAGATATAACCGTTGTGATGTTTGATCCTCGCGATCTATGACCATTGCGATGTTTGACCCTTGTGAGGCATGATCCTTACAACCCTGTCAATGGAGTTATTCTTGCGCCAGAATAACTGAGTTGTTCTCAATGGCGCACACACGCGATTACTATTTTTATTACCATGTAGAAAACTTGGTAAAATACCGGTGGTATTTTACTCGAGGGGCCATTCATTTGTGAAATCAGTGTGTCACTTAGGACTGAAATCGTATGAAATCAGTTGAAATCACGTGAAATCAGTGAAACCCTGTGATTTCATCGATGTCAGGGGATTTCAATTGAAATCACTTGCAATCGGTGAAATCTCATGAAATGAGCAACTCATGAATCCCTTTCGAATACGTAAAAGAAAAAGAAATTTTCGACTCATTTGTGGCGTATTCTTCTACGTATGCCAATTTACGTGTATTATTTTTAGATAAAATTTCTCGAACTACAACCAATGACTATTCATGATTGTGTAGCCATTGGTCACTATCGCCAAATAATTTTCTCCCTGTGGTTACCAAGAAAGATTTAGAAATGATTGAAAAGATATATAAAGAAGTTATCAAATGTTTCTAATTGCAAAGTCCGTTCATTACTAATCATAGTGGAGACTTCATTTCGTTTAGTTGAATGTATAAAATTTACGTTGTTCTCTATTTTATTGAATAAATAGATAATTTATCGAATGAATGAAAAAATAATTATTTGATGCTTATGACTTAAGCTTGATAGTTTCCTTCCTACATTCACCCCCTTTGTAACTTTCATGCTTGAGCTTTCTTGCATTAATATGATGCATTTATTTCCCTGAGGGTTCTATCTTTAGCCCCACTTACTCCACTAAATAGATGAAATCAAAAATTTGAAATCACTTGAAATCGTCTGAATCAGCAATCATTGTGTCATCGGATTTCCAAATAAATGGTCCCTTGATTTTACTGGCCCAAACCTGCTTAACATTGTGAGCAACGCCCCTCAAATAGTCCAGATTACAACTGATACAATAACACAGTCCTACAAAATTCCGGCTTTTTCAATACAGACATGAAACTGCCTCCACTCGAAAGATTTTTGCACGCCGATTTCAAATCCGGAGACCAAATATTGTAAAATGACCTAGTTTCTGAGAAACAAAATGTTAAAGTGACCCATAATCGCCTTTTTCAAAATTTAATTAAAAAATAACGCCCGTGTGGATTGAACGGAGAAAAAAAACAAACCGGCGAATTGGGTTTTTTTCCAGCCCCGGTATTCGAATTTTTTAAAAGAATTTCTCTCCGTGGACCGGTCGTCCAAAATAAAATTTAATAAATCCTCTCCGCAGGCATTCGAATTTATTTTGATGTTTATTCCGATTCAAATGCAGGCAGGTCAATGACTCGTGTGTTTTCAAATTTACGTAGAATCGGAAATATGCGTCACCGCCCGATATGCATGTGTTGAATAGACTATGTGTTGAATTGATGTGTTATGTTGAATTTTCATAGTGACAAATAGTCCTGTCATCCACACACACATACATACATCAGGACATGGTCTAAAAATAGCATATTCGTACTCCTGAAGCCAGAATTTGTTATCCTGACACGAAAAATTGAAAATTTCGGATTTGACGAGTACAATCCTTCCATTCAGAAGCAAAAGACTGGCATTTCAGTTTGAAAATATTTATTCTCGAGGTAAAAGCCTCATTAATAAGTCTGAATCCCCTGTGTCGAAATTTGTGACCCAATTTTGTCCTACCTATTTGTACACATACACTGAAAGAAAAACGAAAAAGTTCTCAAATAAGTCTTACTTGTGCCAAGAAAATGGTTTTTTGAAAATGATCAAAAAAGGATTTTTTTGTGCCAAGCATGCAGAGAGTGCGCCGGAATGAAAAAATTTTTGTCGCAAAAATAGATTTAGTAGTTAAAAAAACTTGTATTCTCTGTACACGCAAGAAATATCATTTCTAGGACTACTCCTTCGTTATTTGATACTCTCATAGATATTTTGCTCCCAAAAAATCTTTGTTTTATGCGAAACAAGGGCTAGTAGTTTTTCGATTCGGCTGTCTAATAATCACAGACAAGAAATGAACCCTTAAATGAATGAAATAATAATAATTATATGATAGCAATCTTGTAACTTAGGGATAAAATATTTGTTGATAAGGTTTCCTCTCTATATGAGATATTTTTATTCTGAAAAGGCACCGTCTGGTGTGAATTATCCGGCTCTTGAGCCAAATATTTCGTTGCTGTTGAAAGCAGAAAAATTATTCATGTTTGAGACTTTCCACGCACGAAAGAATTTAATAAAAAAACCTATCGAATTCCTTAAAAACTGCTATTGAATTTCTATTAAACTTTTTATTAGGTTTTGGCTGATTCTATTGACATGTTCAATAGAAAACATTCAATAAAAAAAGTCCACAGAATTCGTTTTTTCTACATAACTTATTCTTTTAATATATTTTCTATAGAATTTGCTGGACTCAAATTTTCCAAGTTTTTTTAATTCTATTTTTCTTTTCTCCTCATGAAAAAAATCAAACGAAAATATCTCAATAGAATAGGTTATATAGAAAAATTAAAATTCTATTGACTTTTTCTAATGAATATTTTCTATTGAACATTTCAATAGAATCGGCAAAAAACTAACAGATTATTTCAATAGAAATTCAATAGAATTTTCTAATGAATTCAATAGGTTTTCCTATTAAATTTTTTCGTCCGTGTCAAATTCGAACCAAACAAATTCTTTTTTGGCAATTTTCAACTAAAGATATTGTTGGCCCAAACAAGACTTGTTTGACAACGTGTTTGTTTTTTTCTCAGTGTAGGATTAGAGAGTTAGTGAATTAGGAATGTTCCATCCCGAGTCGACATTACAAATTTCGTCGATGTTAGGTCTAAATAATCCAAAGTACGTTAGGGAAAAAGTCGTCAAGTTGAATTCGACAATTTAAAATCGACGAGCGATGAACATCGAGATCTGTTTTTGCTGAACTCCTCTTCCTCACGTATGAAAAAATTCCATGGAAAAACTTAACGAATTCGCTAGAAAATTCTTATAGGAATTCTCTAGAAATTCTATTGGAATTCTATTAAAATTCTAGGGAATTCTCGATAGAATTCTATTTATTTTTCGCGCTGATTCTATGAGATAACTGATAGAAAAAAGTCAATAAATTTCGATTTTTCTATATGAATATTCTCTTGGAATTTTTTTTATAAGAATACTTGGGCATGAATTTTCTAAGTTTTTTTTCACTCGGATCCTGTACTGCAAAATAAACACAAAATATAGCGGGAAAAACGTACAAAATCTATCTCTCTATATTATAAAAATCCAAATCGACTTCTGGTGATAAAAATTTGGTACTTGAAATTAAGACTCCGAAATTAGGAATCAAGAGGGTCAGAATAAGGGTTATGAGGATAAAAATAAGGGTCACTCAGATTAAAATAAGGGTCACGAGGGTCAGAAAAAGGGTCGCAAGGATTAGGTTAAGGGTCACAAGGGTCAGATTAAGGGTCCAAATAAGAGTAAAATAAGGGTCGCAAGATTAAGAGTCAGATTAAAAGCCCAAATAAGGATGACAAGAGTCAGATTAAGGGTCTAAATAAGTGTTACAAGGATCAGATTAAGGGTCACAAGGGTCAGAGTAAGGGTCCAAATAAGGGACATGGGCGTCAAAAACCAAGGGTCTGAAACTAAGGGTCACCAGTGTCAAAATACGGGTCACAAGGTTTATAATGAGGGTCAGATTGATGGTCGAAATAACGGTCATGGGGCTGACCCCTAAGTGTCACAAGGGTCACATAAGGGTCTCAATATCTTTCTATACTGTAAAAATCGAAATCGACTTTTGGTGATGAAAATTTGATGCTCGAAATTAAGACGCCAAAATTAAGGGTCCGCAATGAAGGGTTACGAGGGGTATAATAAGGGCCACGAAGGTCAGATTAAGGGTACACGAGGGTCAGAGTAAGGGTACACAATGGTCAGAATAAGGATCATGGGGGTTATATGGGTATTGACGAGCGGAACGGGCAGGGGGCCCAGTGTCCAATAATTTTGATAGAAAAAATCTTAAGAAAAAAATTCAAACAGAAAAATCAAAATCTATTGACTTTTTTCTATCAAATATCTAATAGAATCTGCGCAAAAAACAAATAGAATTTTAACGAGAATTCCCTAGAATTTTAATAGAATCCCCATAGAATTTTTAGAGAACTCGCTAAGTTTTTCTATTGAATTTTTTCATACGTGATAGCTTTCAAATTTCATCACGGCCTTTCCTTAATTATTGTCTCCGCGCAATAACAAAAATAATATACTTACGAAGGCACTCAGTGTACCCATACTCCGGAATATTCCACCGTCCATTCTGCTCGCAGGTTCTTCTCTGATCTCCAACGAGAATAAACCCTTGATTGCACTCAAACGTCACTTTGATGTTAGGTATGAACAGGAAATTACTCTTCCTGCCGAATCTCGGAGTCTCCAGAACGCCACAGGATATAGCTTAAATAAAAATATTAGCTGGTGAGTGACTTTTCAACCTTTTCAAAATATGACGTGACATTCCGATAACTCACTTGGTTTGGAATTTAGCGCCTTAATTTGGGTAACTGTGTCATAATAATTCTTGGTGAAATGCGCCAGATCTCGATTTAATGTCAGCGCGTAATCATATTGACACTGATAAGTCTCTCCGCAGAGCTCACGAGCTAATTTTATATCGTCCGATCTGTGAATTGTTAATACAACATGATCTTCCGAGTTACTATGCGACTAATTATTACTAATGCAGTTCTTCATAATTAGGCCATTATACGGTCACCATTTATAATTCAGTAGCGAAGTGGTGAAACGGTTTAAATCGACTTATCTTCCAGTTGAGTTTTTGAGGGATATTCCCGAATGTAAGGGAGATAGCGAAATTTTCGTAATTACATTTGTTATAGCACTCAATCGGATCTACAAAAAAGGTTGTAACAAAACTTTTGCTATCTCCCTTAGATTCCGAGATATTCGTTGAAAACTGGTTAATAGTTAATAGTTAACATTGACTTGTACCGTTTCACCACTTCGCTACTGAATTCTATTGAGGATATCCAAGTAGTTCAGGCAATTTTTTCTAGGAGAAATCTCCTTCAGAGTTTATAGACTAGACCAAGAGTATTTTTTAGGCGCAGTATAAAATTTAGAACATATTTTCGAGAAAACGATTTTGGAAAGAATGAAATTTAACACATTGCGTCCATAAGAGCTGTATACTCCCACATTCAATCCAATAGTTCATAGTCTTAAAGCGTTTTCTCGTACGCATAACCATATATGACTTTATTCGTTATACTCTCTAGTTTTTTTTACAACATGAAAAAACATAAGTTTCCGGACAGATAATTGCAAACAATCAAATTAAAAGCTTCTTGATTGGTACGACGGCCATATTGGGTGGTTCGAATCCGCGCGTTCCTGACATCTGGCAACGGTCCGCTCAAGTGACCACTCGGACCGAATTTACGAGGTTATATGGAACACATGTACAGTGTTGCCGTATGATCGTTAGAGGTTAGACCAACGAGAGTCAAGTGTGAAATTGAATAAAATATTGTTCACAATATTCATTGAAGAAATTCCCGAAAAAATGTATTCAACAATGAAAAATCCGAAAAAGTATGGGGACGGCAAGATTTTCGACAAAACTGAAATCTTGCTTGAAAAAAAGTTCCTAACTTGAACGAAGTACTTGGATATCCTTAAGGTGTTTCGCGTAAAAAGTCAAAATAGTGAAAAAAAAATTGGCAAATTCACGGGAGAAATTTCTGAGTATGCTGCATCATTGAGAATTCTTGCACTTTTTTTTCAGACCTCAGTCTCAAGAAAAAAAATAATGCAATCTGGATGGTTTTGGAACCCCTGCAGCTATAATCTGCGAGGTTACCCCACTCTCAATTAGGGAAATTTCCAGGGCACCCAAAAAAATTATGAAGTATTGAGCAAAAACTAGTGGGTGATAAATCAAATCTTTCTTGAGAACACATATAAGTTTCAGATTTTTTTCAGATTTCATAAGAAAGTTCTTTGAACAAATGATTCGGAAAATTATAAGTTTCGGGGCAATTACGCCCTCATGCGCAAGCGCGTGATTAGAATGTCAGTGAGCGTCATGGGAAGAGAAAACACCCGACAGGTTTACCAGTTCGGGACGCATTTTAATATTATTTCAATAATTAGCAAAACATCCAATAGAAATTATTTGACACCCGTAGGTGATGAGAAAAAAATGAGAAAAAATCAATTACATAATAATAATCCGATAAAATTTTCCATCGCCGATTTGAATTCTTTGCTATTTTTGGAATTGAATTTATGGGTATTAGTTCACTATTCGAAAAAATATATCAATTTTAAAATTTCCTATAGACATTGAAAAATTAAAAATTATTTTTTCGTGTTGATTCCATTTCTCTTCCTCTTTTCACTTTCGTCCATCAGAAGTAGATAATAAAAAGAAAATACATTGGTTTTTCTTCATTATTAAAAAAAAGTTTTAAAATTTTCAAGACTGAAAAATCGATTTTTTAAATTTATTTCTGATTTTCCTTCTCTACATTATAGGAATTAAAAATGTTGATCTCCCTTCATTTTTTAAGAAGAAAAAAAACAATTTGAAAAAATTCAAAAAGACAGAAAAATCTCCCTTTGCAATTTCCTTCTTCGGTTCCATTGAAATGAGATCAAAGGGATGTAAAATGTTCATATTCGTTCACCTTTTCAGATCATTGGTATTAATCAATTTAAAGAACAAGAAAAAAAAGAAAAATCTTACATATGATTATCGAAAATTGTTTGTCGATCTGTATTCTCACGTGATATATGGGGAATTTCTCTTCAATCAATGTTGTACCTTGTGAATTAAGGAACAAAAATATATATAATAATAAGAATGAATAAAATTCAATTAATCTAATTGTGAAGACGGAAAGGGAAAGAAAATAAAATAAAATAACGGAGTAAAAATTAATCTAGTGACGGGCGTGAAGCACCCGTTTGCTAGTCTGATAAATAAAATCGATATTCAAAAAATGTTTGAATGCACACTTAAACAAATGGTTCCTTGAAAATTGGAAAATTTCGTGCTCGGCGATTGAATCAGGGCTCGAGAACAATAAGACTCCCCCTCCGTTTGACCCCCCCGCCCCCCGCCCCACCTGCATTGCAAATGGCGACTGCATAATGGCGTAATGATGCAGTTTTTCAATGAATTTATCAGAAAAACCTGGCGACTTCCCTGAGCAATTCTATTGAACTTTTTTACGGTAACTGTATAATAATTCTATTAAAAGATTCTGTATTTTTTTTCGAAAAAAAGCCAATAAATTTGAGTTTTTCATATGAATTATTCTGTTGAGAGTTTTTCCGTTAAAATTTTGAGGAAAAAAAATTTCCACGTTTTTTCAGATATAATTTTCTTTATTCCTTATTAGAAAATGAAAAAAAAAAGTGACACCTATGCTAGTGCACAGAACAATCAATATCCATTGACTTTTTTCTATTAAAAAATCTATTGAAAAATGCACAGTTTCAATAGAACTTCCACAGAATTTTCTAGATAAATCACTAGGTTTTTCTCTTGCATTTTTTTGAACCTGCAATTCAACAATTACTATTAGAATTTATTTTAACTGCTGAAGTTATCCCACCTATTTGACAATATCTCCTGAGGTGTCCTCTTCCACTCTGGTTCAAACGTTACATTGGCATAGTAACTCGCTGTTCTGCCGAATTCCCGAGTGAACAATGCAGCCCCTTTGTACCTATCCTCCTTATCCTCCAGCATCCAATGCATACCAAAGTTCTTGTGAATTTCCTCGAAACGGTCTAGACTCAATGACACTATTTGACCGTCAGGCCGGGTGAAATCATCCGTTTTTTCATTACTCCAATTGCCCATCAATCCTCTCGTCTTATTCTGTAATTTGGTTAAATTCATTGATGTATTAGCCATCGCTGATTATCGAATTTGATTACGAGAGTCGAGGGGCTACCCACTGCATAATTGAATGACACCTTGATTTCGAAACGATTTCAGTGATTTCGAGCGTCACGGGAGGTGATTTCACGATTTCGAATGATGGCATTAATTCGAATGATTCGAATGATTTCGAATCATTCGATTTCGATTTGATTGATTTCGAATGATTTCATTAATTCGAAATCAGTGATTCAAAAAAAAAAATGAAGTAATTGAAATCGCGATGAATAAAGTGAATAAATAATAGAGATGGGGAAAAAAGAGTCGTGTCAAATTATGAAAATCAAAACTGGCAACAATAACTGGTAAATAATAACGAATTCGTTTGATTCCACTCCGTCAATCTTGAGCTAATGACGATGAAAAGTGGTCCATTTTACCCCAGTCTTCACTAATAATTCACAAATAACAATCAACTTCAAAACATTATATTAGAAAACAAAAGCTACATAAATTATTTCACAGATAGATTGTCATAACATTAGCTCATTTATTTAGAAATATTTTTTAACTTCATCAAAAATTCTCTCAGGGAGCCTCAAATCTCTATTCTCAGTGATCAGAGGAGGATAAATTGTTCTTCGATGCAGGCTTATATTAATGTAGCTGTGAGAACTCATTGGCTCCGACGTTAAACTATTCAGACTTTTATCCAAAATATACCAATGGGAAAGATCACCCAGGGATCGGCAATAATATCAGATATTGGCAATATTAAAAAGAATTATCTCGTTATATTGTTCAAAATTTAATTATATTTACCAAATTTAAAATATTATAGAATTTATTAGCTAAATTTTTCGATTGATGGTGAATAAAATATTTGATAATACTAAAATGTAATTTCTTGGTTATCAAGCTAATTGTAACTTTAGGTACTTGATTTTCGATTATCCAAATAATCGTCAATCTTCCTACCCAAATTATTGGTTGATAGAATATTTCAAAATTTAATTGTATAAATTAATGGTTACTTTAATATTTAAAATTTTAAGATTTATGTTAAACATTGACAGCTTCACAATTTAACGGTAATTATAATTGGTTGATATGCCTATAACTGAGAACACCTATATTTTTGCTATTACCACTGACACGAGCATATTCGCTCTAAAACTCCCTGATTCGCAAAGTTTTCCCCTCTGAATACACGAAATTCAGCACATACCCTAGTAAACAAGTAGGATATTTTTCCTCCTGAAATAAGCACCATTCACCGATATCGATTACCTTGAATTCTTTCACAAAACACGTTTTCTCGCTTTGCAAAGGGTTTTTACGTCAACGACTAGTACTTCTCGTTATTTCTTCGTCCCTAACTCGCTGAAGTCTATCACTACTCAGTTTTGAATGATCTTTATTAAACAACCAACATATTGAGGATTTGTGAACTATTGATTCTTAGCCTGAGGTATCTGAAACTATAACGAATGGACTTTCTGGATCCATGCGACAATAAGCACATACGACATTTGTCTGGGAGTAAGTAAATATGGGATTCTCAGAAAAACCATTATGACAATGAGTACGGCATCTTATTATTATTGTTGGCACGGGTGTCAATTTCAAAATCACGAATTACTCGCGTGGTTCGCACTAGGCCAGTGCGTCACTGATTTAGGTGATTTAATTGATTTCAGACGATTTCACGTGATTTCGGAGATGATTTCGGAGAGTTGAAATTATTTGATTTCAGTGATTTCAGGTGATTTTGGAGTAATTTCAGCCAGGGTGGTGCCGTGATTTCGAGAGTGAGTAGCCCCTCGACAGGAGTTATTCAGTAGCGAAGTGGTAAAACGGTTTAAGTCGACTAATCTCCCAGTTGAGTTTTTGAAGAATATTTCCGAATTCAAGGGAGATAGCGAAATTTTCGTAATTACATTTGTTGTACCTCTCAATCGGATTTACAAAAAAGGTTATATTTAAAAATTTGCTATCTCCCTTAGATTCCGAGATATTCATTGAAAACTGGTAAATAGTCAAAATTGACTTTTACCGTTTTACCACGTCGCTACTGTATTGAATTATAACGCCATAAAAAATTCAATTGGATTAATGTAACTGGTGTTGCAGAAATCGATTTCTCATAAGTCATTCTGCATATCAGAACGATTCGAGCAATGTATAAGAAACAATTTTGTTTTCAATTTTTTCGGTTATCCAGTCAATAGTAATTAACGAAAAACCACGCACTGCCGCGTTTCTCTATGGTGACCAATTGAGAGTTAATATGCTTAGTTTCACAACTTCAAGTAGTTTTTCTAAAAATGTCCAACTGTTTCTTACGACTGAAAAATGTAATTGGAAAATATTCACATGAAAAGTCCCTCGATTCATTCTGGAAACAGAAATAGTTCGAAAACACTTCAATGATAGACATTCATTTATTCCAAATGAGATTCGTTAACTATTAACAAACGGTAGAGTTGAATATAACCAAATGAATATTCGTTAATAGTTAACGAATGCTTCACTTGAAAAGCGAAAATCGAATTTAACTATAGATTAACGAATGAACATTTGGTGAGACCAAATAGACCCTTGTCTCCAACCAAATCCATTCATTAACAATAACTAATCGTTTTATCAGTGTTGATTCAAAGAGTAAAACAAGTTTTACTTCATGTTCTTCAGATGAGATGGCATTAAGTAGTTTCAATCCACGAGTGAGCAATTTCATCGCTGTTCCATAAAGTTTATTGGTAGAGCTATTAAAGTCCAGTGATAACTTACCATGTACGTCCACGGTAGATAAACTCTCGCGGTCATGAAGCCCTGGTTTTCCACCACTTCAACCCCAGCGCCGGTATCAAACATTATTATGACTTCGCTCTGATTCAAAATATACGTTGGTGTATAAACGACAACGCCGGGGAAGTGCTGAAACTTCAAAGATTGCCTGTCGAAGTAAATCCGACGGCCGTCCGCAAAGACATCCAAGCGGTACCGCCATTGGGCGCTTGGCGGTCTCACGCGGACCTCTATCGTTGACGAGTCGTTGCCCCTTGCTGAGTTAACAATTCAAAATGGAAGATTGAAAAATTCCAACATCAGTTCATTACAAATGTCTCAACTCCTCACGGACGGGGCCCTTCTGTTTCCAAGCGTGGAGTACGCTCGATACAAGTAAAATGTAATGACTTCTAATCAACGGAACATTATGAAACCGATATGTAATTGCAGCTACAATATTCCTTTTGTCGTTGGTATTTATTTTCTTGAGTTAAATTCAATAGTTTTGAAAATGATCAATTTTAAAGAGAGTCACTCATATTTTCATATGTTGATGCATAGCATCGATCCCGTACGTGAGGGGTCAAAGACACAGAGAGATAAAATAACGTAATATCACAGAGAAAAAGATATTCTGGTTTCCAGTAACAGTCTCTAGAGGTTTGCCGACTTGTCTTCCCCGACATTTTTCAAAACAAAATTGATCAGTAAAATTCAATCAATCTATTTAAAGGAGATTCTACAATGAAGCGCAACGCAGGATTAACGCGACGCATTCAATGGTGTGAACCAATCATTCAACTGTTTTTCGATTATTTTAACAATTGCAAGCGTTGCGTCAACCCTGCGTTGCGTTCGTTGTAGAATCTCCTTAAGGGGTAACAGAATGCCGCTAATTTTCCAAATTTTTTAATAAATTTCCTGCTGAAAGTTATCCATATTTTTACAAATCAAAGCACATTAATCTCCAGGAAGCTCACATGCAAAAGGTTCCGAGTTCAAATCCCGGCTTGGTAGAATGGTGCGATCTAAACATTTAAAGTCTTGATCATCATCGCAATATACCCTAACCGGGTCGAAGCGATATAAAAACATTCGATTTTCGGGGTCATTACAATAACTTCCTCCCTTCGGGTCGGGAAGTTAATAACGATAAAAAAAAATCTCCAGCAAGCGATGATAAAGATCAATGTGCTTTGGGTTCAAAAAATATTGATAACTTTGAGCAGGAACGTTTGAAAATTTCGAGGAAACGGTGGCCTTCTGTTACTGCTTAACCCTCGATCACTCGCTCAATGAGCGCGGTGCCACCCCTTTTCGTTTTTTTAAATATTTTAATGTTTCGTGACGCTCAAAAATTGAGAAAAAATTAGAGTTCCTAATTTAATTCTTTTTTAAGCGTTGGCGTTGTCCGTTTTTTTTGAGAAATTTGTTTAGCTAAAAAAAGAAAAGAAACTTCGAACGGACTGAAAAGCGGCGCCGCGCCGCCTGGTGCGAGTGAGTCCCTGTCGACCCCTCGAGCGACAGTGTTGTTACATTCACTGTCACACTTGACATGCGCGCATAGCGGTAAGCGCCAAGGTGGCAACAGCGCTGACGATTTAACCAAGTGGCGCTAGCGGTGCGACGGATGAAGACTGGTGGCCGAGCGCGAGTGATCGAGGGTTAATAGGAGTCGTGTGCAATTCCATGAGCATTGTTCAAGTGTAAACAAGTGGCCCATCGCACAGGTGTAAATCGAGTATAGTTTTTTTGCTAATAAATTAGCAATTTGCTTCCGAATGGATTAATCGAATTAAAACAAAAAAGTGCATATTCGGTTTTTTGTTATTAATTTCAGATTAGTAGGGAAGTTCAACCTTGATTTGATCTTGACTTGACCTTAACTTGTCCTTGTCAATGTCGGCCCAGTGCGGGGCCAATGTCGGTCCAGGGTTGGGCCAACGTCGGCCCAAGATTAGACCAACGTAGGCCCGGGATTGGGCCAATGTCAGTTCAGGCTCGGGCCATTGGCCCCCTGATAAGGCTATAATTTCAAAGGAAATAATGCGATGGCCGCTATTTTCGAACTCGACTTTAAATTTGACGACCACAATGCTTGCATTCGGAAGCAAAATTTAAGGACATTTTTTTATTAAACGTGACTTGATCTTGGCATCATAAACCAGTGTTCGCGTTTTTATTCAACAGTTGAAGCATCCACCCAAAACCAGCTCAAGTCTCCCAAAAAGATTTCATTCACTTTCCTATTTATTTAGGATACATTCCCAGAAACGAACAATTCACTCAACGCTTCCCAAAAAATCCCAAAAACCAGAAAAGTCCCATTCAATTTGACCCATAATATTACCTGCAACTGAGGTCAATTGAGTTCCTCGAACTTCTCCATAGAAGTTGTTCCCCATCTGTTCGAACCTCCCCTGAATATCCAGCTTATACTTTTCCGTGTCCACCCGCACCAGCACAAACTCCCCCTTTCCATTGAACGTGTATGGAACGTCATCAAACGTCACGATGTGAGGATCTCCAAAGACTGCAGCGATGGCTGGAGATTGATAGGCAATGCAGTCCTGGGTAGGCCGTCTCTCGAACCTGAAAGTCTCGCAGCCAACTGCCTGTTCCTCCTGCCACATGCAGCACAGGTACATCGGGACCATGTCGTGGAACCAGTGAGAGAGACTCGGTACTTTGTTAGCTTCGTTCCAGGGCAGGTACCCCAGGTTGTGGGATCTGTGGGGCTTGGAACCCCACTGCTGATCGTATGTCAGCATCAAGTAGCCGTTTTTGTCGTAGCAGCATTGCTGTTCCGATCCATCCAAACTGACAACGAAACCAAAAGAGAAATCGTGAGTAAGGAGTTGGAAGCTATATACTCGAGGGGCTAATAACTGCAAGATCGAGTGACACCATGACTGCAGGGAGCCTATTCTCGACCCAGGATTGCACGGTCGTATGAAAGCCCGTTGTGAACGGAGGCGCTCCATGTGGGGTGGGGTCCGTACGGTTTGAGACCATCGTATGCGACTTTGGCTCCGTACGATCCCATGCAATTTTCACTCGGCGTTCGGTTTCGTATGACGGTTTGATGCGACTTAACCTCACACGTTGACATTCCCCTGGGCCTGTGATTATTTACGTAAAAATTACTGTAATTATTCACATAACAGTACGTAACAATTACTGCGTTGAAAACGTTGTTTTTAAAAGGAACAGAGCATATACAACATAATGTATAAATAATCACAGTTTCAGGGGAATGTCAGAGTGTGAGGTTAAGACGCGTCAAACCGTCATACGAAACCGAACGCCAAGTGAAAATCGCATGGGAGCGCACGGAGCCAAAGTCGCATACGACGGTCTCAAACCGTACGGACCCCACCGCACACGGAGCACCTCCGTTCACGACGGGCTTTCATACGACCGTGCAATCCTGGGTCGAGAATAGGCTCCCGACCGCAGTCGATTTCACCTGACGACAGCAGCGATTTCAATGACTGCATTGAATTCACGACTTCATTGATTTCAATCATGATTTCCAATGATTTCATGACTCATCATAATTTCATTGACTCTATTTGACTGAAATCAATAAGTTCTACGTAATTGGAATCACTGAAAACTCAATGACCAGAAATTGAAAAAATAATCGAGATCAAATAATTATTTATCAAGACGATTGATTTTATTATCATAAAAGATTTAATGAACGCTTACAAATTATGATCATTTCTGATAAACGAATGAACAATACTAGAAGTATTTTTGTACTTCTCTCAAAATTTTTTGGTCAACTTTCAAGTGCCCTTCATCATCAAACGTTGGAGGTGAAATTGTTTTTTGATATTGTTTAATATCAACATAGCCCTGAGATGTCATTGGCTGTGACAGTAACGCATCTGAATTTGTCTTTAAAATGTACCAACAACACAAAACACCTATATCTCTTTTGTTACCATCAATACGCGCGTATGAACCAGAAAATTCTCGAACCAAAAATTCTGGAACGTGGATAGTGTAGAGCGTGGTGTATTTTCGGTCAAGGGATTCCCTCGTAATTTCAGGGATTTCATTGACTGCAAATGATTTCATTGTGACTTCAAGAAATGACTCCATAAATGGGAATCACGAGATTTCTATGATTTCACTGATGTCAGCGATTTCAGTGATTTCATGGGTGACTCCAAATTGATTTCACCAGCAAGTGATACCATGATTTCAGGAGTTACTAGCCCCTCGACTATACTACATCTTTTTTATATCGTATCTTCAACATATTGATACTGGTACGATTGCAATTTGCATGTTTAATTTAACGGAATAGTAGGTAGGATTTAATGAAATAATAGAATGAAGGACCCGAACTCGTGTGCTTATCGCCTTCGCCTCGGATGTTAATTCTGCGCATGGGCACGACTTCTTTGTTACCTCCCGTAGTTAGAACCATATTTTTCGTCATAACTGCACGGTAGAGTTTGATCATTTTAGGCGAGAGTCAAGTGTGGAATTGAATAAAATATTGTTTACAATATTCATGGAAGAAATTCTCAAAAAAATTTATTCCACAATGAACAATCCGAAAAAGTGTGGGAATGACAAGGTTTTCGGTAAAACTGATGTGCGTGAAAAACAGTGACTAACTTGAACGGAGTACTTGGATATCCTTAATGCATTGAACCACGTAAGTCACGAAACGTATCGATGTGAGAAAAGTAGGGGGCCCTCAATATATTAGTGGGCCATAAAAAAGGCCCGGCTGCGCACGCACGCTACCACAAAATGGTGAAGGGTGAGATACGTGAGACTGTTCAATGTATTAAGACAGAGAATTGTACAGTATAAAATTTTAAAGTTATTAAAATCATATCAGAATTTCTAGACATCAATCAAGTTAAAATTGAATTAGTTTTTATCTAAATGTAATTGTCCATATCATAAATATTGTTACCCACGGTGCATCTGTTTTGTCTGCGAATTAATTCATTAAGGAAGGAGTTGAGAAGAAAGAAGACCAAATTTTGAATGGAATTGGTACTGCCCCCTAAAGGGGTTTTCACAGGTCAATTTATGAGGAAAGAGAACCAGTTACTAGAGAAGAATTGGCACTTGCCTCTACAAGAGTGAGAGGATAAAGCCATTAGGATTAGAAGAAGAAGAATTGTGCAGTATAAGTTGTACTGTACAACCTCGTTTATCCAAGGCAATGTGGGAAAAGGGTACCTCGGATAAGAAGGAAACTCGTATAACACGGAAAAAATAAAAAAATCGAAAATTTGAATCATTTTTTATGTATCTGAAATGGTAGAATGAAATTTAATCACGACTATGACTTTTTTCCTGTTTTGCGACATGGCAATGTTCGTTCATTGATTGTTGAAGGCCATCTGTTAATTTTTAGCTTACAACAGAAGAGCACACAATACATGTAACAAGTTTATGCGGCTCCATCCGTTTTATCCGCGTTTTTCTGTCGTATGGGAGCAAGTGCGTTGCCTCGGATAACGCGGAGGCTCCGTCGATCGAAGGCCGGTTAAACGAGGCTGTAGTGTATTAAGAAAATTGTAAAAAAATTTAAAAATTTGAAGAATTATGAATTGTTATTCAGAGAATTGTAAAAGTGTGGCGCGGCGCTTATATTGCTATCCGTATCCCGAGTGGAAATTTCACTCGGTTCGCTTGGGTCTAAATCAGTTTTGGGATTCAATACTGATCAGAATTTCTCGACTATGCTTTCAGATCGTGATTTGATAAGATGCTGCACAGAGTATCTGGACCCAATGCGGCGGAGTGAATTCTGATTCTATTCTGATCAGTCAAATCCCAACTGGATCTGTATTGATTCCGGTACTGATCAGCAAGTTCGGATCGTATCTATTTGATCAGACATGGATCCAAACAAGCGTTACATTTGCTATCCAAAACTGATCAAAATCAGTTCTGATGGAGTAGTCTCTTATTCTAGACTGATTGGAATTTCCACTCACGATCGTCTTAGTCCATAAATCACGTGATCCAATTTTGGCTCATTTCTGACCCCCTCCCCCCCTGGTGATCAATCGTGACCTTTCGTCGACCCCCCCGACGCATGTTATCACGTGTGTTTTTTTTCAAAACTCAGGATAAAAAATGATCGCTTTTGAAAAAAATTTTTTTTTTTTTTTGTTAAAAAGACAACTCTTTTATACACGTCTAATGAACGAAAAATAATTTTATTCCAGAAACAAATCGTTAAAGTATATGAGTCATAGTTTCATCTCTTAAGTATATTAATTTCAATAGTATAATGTTTCGATATTTGCTATCGATCACTCTGCAAATAGTTCCTCGTTGGAAATAGCCTTTTCTATCGTGTCTCTTTGGGAAAAGTCTTCTTTATATTAGCACGTTTCGTACAGAAGAGACTCTGAATTCATGAGTCGTCATCAATCCAAGGATTGTTAAAACATTCTTCAACACTAACAAACACTACTGTCAGGGTTCAACAATCCGTTATTGTCCAGTTGAATCATATCTTCGTTTTGTTTATCAGTCAACTCATCAAATGTATTTACCGACTAATTTCTTGGGTATTTGAACAAAAAAATACACGTGATATCCCCCNTGGACGCCCCCTTATATGATTGAAATCCTCAAAAAGTTTGATGAATCGAAATAAAATGTTTACTTGGGGGCTCCAGTGGTAACACAATGTATCGCTCCATAATTGTAAAAACAATCAGGATTCGAATCCTTATCGCAACTCAGATCGGGATGATAACGACCCTTGTCAGTCAAGGCATGACTCAGAGTGCAAGGACAGAGTGAGACTTCAGCGGCAAAATTCTTCAGGTATCTGTCATTCATGATCCAATTGTCGCAGAGCTTCTGCGGCCACTTGGCTCCATGCTCCCGCTCCCACTGAGGCCCGAAGTACCAAGCAAGGGGGATGGGTTTGCTCCATAAAACTCTGGAAATAGTCATTAATTCTCATATAAGTCGTTGATCAATTCGACTTATGAAATTAAAATCGAGATGGTAAAATTTGATTGTGATTTCTTACTCCATCAATGAATATTTGGAATTCATCCTCTTGAATTTTATAACTACATCAATTAAAGAAAATGATTTCATTGTAATTTTGAATATCATGGAAATTAATGTGGAGGAGAAGAATGTTCCCGAATAATTTTACCTTACGTAGATATTCTGGAATTCATCAATTCGTTAGTTATTGAAATCGAATATATTTAAAATTCATCTTCGTCCCAGAATCACATGAGGATTATATTCCACGCCAAATGAATCAACCGTTGGTCCTCACCCTCTTGGAAATTAATGGCGATTTTTCTACACGATTGGGAGGGGGGGGGGGGNATTTTTTCAGATTTTTTCGGCAGCCCAGTTGAGAAATATGATTTTTTCTTCGTCGTCCATTTTTTTTCCATAACTCAAGTTCTATCTATCCGATTTTGATTTATTAACTGTCAAACTTTTTCATTTTTTACTACCTATAAGCATATTTTTAGTGAAATTTTTTTTTCAATCTCTAGATGCTCATAATAACTAATTTTCGAGAAAAGAAGTTGAAAAACTTGAATTTCGGAAATTACGTCACGGTTGATTTGTTTCATTTTTTTCAGAAATTCTTATAATCAAAACAAGTATTTTGAACTGTCATATAAGTGAGCATCCTTCTGGATCTATTTTATTTTCCATTTTTTCTTTCCGAAATTCCGCAAATTTGGTCAAAACACCCCAAAATGGCATTGATTGATTTTGATTATAGACAGTATGAAGTGAATTTAACTGTATATCTATATATTAAATATTTTTCGATAAATAATCGAAGTCGTTTTGCGGTGTTTTGACCAAATTTGCAAATTTCCAAAAAGAAAAAATTAAACATAAAATAGATCTAGGAGGATGATTAGGGGAGAAAAGAGCTTAGTCGGTAAGAATGCCCGGCGCGTATCTGGAAGACCCGGGTTCGATTCCCGGCTGGGTGAAGCGGAAATTTTTTCTCTCTAAATTCTAATTCTCTTAGAATTCTTTATGCCTAAAGGAGGTTAGGCGGTGTTTGAGGTGAATTTGAGACTGAATTTCTGTGGTTCCCGGTAGCTTAGTCGGTAAGAGTGCCCGGCGCGTATCTGGGAGACCCGAGTTCGATTCCCGGCTGGGTGAAGCGAAAATTTTTTCTCTCTAAATTCTAATTCTCTTAGCTAATGCCCAACTGAGTATCGGCTTAAAAAACTTGGTTTGATTATAAGAATTAATGAAAAAACAATTTTGAAAATCAACCGTGACGTAATTTGCAAAATTCAAGTTTTTCAACTTTCTTTTTGGAAATTCGTTATTATAAGCATCTAAGAATGCTTATAATGCTTCTAAGAATGCTTATAATAGTGTAGGCGGTAAAAAATGAAAACTTTTGACGCTTAATAAATCAAAGTCGGACAAATCGAACTCAAGTTATTGGAAAAAATGGAAAAATGAAAAAAAATCGTATCTTCGAGCTGAGCTGCCGAAAAAATCTGAAAAAATTTAAGAGATAGTTCTTCAACCCCCCCAATGGTAGAAAAAATCGCCATCAATTTCCAAGAGGATGAGAGTCAGCGGTTGACTAATTTGGCGTGGAATACCTCACTACATTACAACTTTAAACATATCATTTTATTTTAAGTACCGGAGAGAATACATTCTCTGATAATTGTTCCTGAAGTAGATATTGTGTAACTCATCAAATCATCCTTTCCGTCCCGGCGGGCGCAAAGTTACATTTCCCTCCCGCTTCGCGGGAGGGAACTCTGACTTTGCGCCTACGCCGAGACGGAAAATCGCGTTCTAACCACGGGAAGTAAAATAAAGGACCCTCAGCCGCCAGTGCAATTACCAGCCGAGCCGAAGGCGAGGTTGGTAAGCACGCGGCTGAGGGTCCTTTATTTTACTTCCCGTGGTTAGAAATATACTATTATCCATAGGTCCATATCCAGAGGGTAAAAGTTGAATAATTCCAATTTCCGAATTTAAACCGATTTTTAAAATCTAATTAATCAATCATTTCAACGCGCTGGAAACGAAATTATAAAATGTATTTTTTCACACACCTGCACGGAAGGTTCGTACTTTGCTCCCTGATGAGCGGGAAAGGTACTCCCTCGGGCGGAAAGTCAAGACTTTTCGCCCTAGGGTGGAAATTCGCTCCCCCGGGCGGAAAGTCAAGACTTTCCGCCCTAGGGTGGAAAGTTGCTCCCAAGGGTGGAAAGTACTCACTTTCCTCCCGCTCATCAAAGAGCAAAATACGAACTTTCCTTTGCAGGCGTGTTAAAAAATAGCATGCGCACCTCGGGCGGGAAAACATGACTTTCCGCCCTTGATGGACAATATACTATTCATTCTCTGCCCCACCATCAGTAAATATTTTAAATTCGTATTCATCTCGAATTTCATAAATGAACGGATTGTCCAAATTATCTCGTAAATCAAGTCCTGAAAAGAATACGTTAATTTTCTAATTCCTCAGACTCACCGTTTTGACTTGGATTCTCTTTCACTAAATGGGCTTAAATTACTCAAGAATAATTGTTTAAATTACGTACGGTGTGATGTCAAGTCCCGAGTAATCGGTGGGTTTCGTTAAATTAATGGAAATGAAACCAAAGTGGATGTCCCGTTGATAGGGATTATCGTAATTACGATACTTGGCTGGTGTTATCGTGTATTCCCCAGTGTTGGTCCAATCCCCCTGAAATATTCAAATCTATAAGTAGTATGTTTCGTCATTAGACCGAAAAAAACTTTTCTGTCCCGGCGGGCGCAAAGTTACATTTCCCTCCCGCTTCGCGGGAGGGAACTCTGACTTTGCGCCTACGCCGAGACGGAAAATCGCGTTCTAACCACGGGAAGTAAAATAAAGGACCCTCAGCCGCGTGCTTACCAACCTCGCCTTCGGCTCGGCTGGTAATTGCACTGGCGGCTGAGGATCCTTTAGTTTCCCTCCCTAGGTTAGAAATATACTATTCTAGCGAATATGAGCTTGCAGCCCGAGCCGAAGGCGAGGGTTGCAATCATATGAGCTAGAACAGTATATTCTGCATCAAGGGCGAAAAGTCAAGACTTTCCGCCTGAGGTGCACATGCGATTTTTTAACACGCCTGCAAAGGTTAGTTTGTATTTTGCCCTTTGATGAGCGGGAGGAAAGTATGAACTTTCCGTGCAGGGGTGTGAAACATTTTTTTTCCGTACTGACCTTCACTTTTCCTCGTCCGGGGATTGGTATTGGCCCTTCCCCACACTTGTAAAAGTGAAAATCACTACGGAAAAGTATCGTTCACGACTAGCGCCATAGGGTTTTTTACTCGCGTGGTTGACCAGTCCGCGTCTTCGGCTCGGACGCCAACTCCACGCGAGTAAAAAACCCCATAGCACTCGTCCTGAAATATCCCTAGTGGAAAAACATAAGGTGGAGGCGTAACATGCCTGATCAGAATTTCGGATCGGACTTGATCAGTCTCTGATCGAAAGCTGAAGAGAATTTCCACTCGGGTATGAGTCAATTTGAGAGTGAAATTCGTAAGTATCCTGATAGCTCAGATGGTAAGAATATCCGACATACTAGATAATGCGGTAATTAACTCACTATCAATTGATATTAATATTTTACTCAGACAAGGAAGGTTTAAAAAACTAAAAAAAATAGGGTCTTCATAATCCTATTTTATCTCTCTTTAATCTTGTAATTAACTTAGCGCTGTTTTTTTTTCACTATCAATTACACACAACAATTTTTCTTTTTTTTTTCTTTGTAAATCTTTATTTTTTGGGCGCCTCAACAAAAACATATTCAAAAGCTCCTGAAGGGAGCATTTAACCAACAATATTAGTATGAAATAAAACAAAATAAAATACATTACTAAATTAAACACGAGAGCTACAATGTGGCCATAATTTATCATAACACAAATAATTTCCATTAATTTTTTTATATACCTGTTTTTTTTCTTGTAAATTACTGTACATATGTAAATATATTGTTGTCTATTTCAATAAAAACATGGTTAAGCAAAAAAAAAGTAAGAGCACCCGACGCGACATTGGGAGGTCCCAAGTTCGATTCCCGGCTAGGAAATTACTAATTTTTTCTCTCAAAAAAATTAAATTTAATTAATGCCTAATGATGGTAAGCGGAGAAACCCTAGTGGAAAAACATAAGGTGGAGGCGTAACATGCCTGATCAGAATTTCGGATCCCGGGTAGAAATTCAACCGGGGATTCAGCCGCAACTCGGGTGAGCGCGAGCTCAGCCTCGGCTTGCCGCTTGACCCGAGTTCACGCCGCGACACGCCGCTCCATACCGGCTCACAGTCGAACGCTCATCAGACGGCATAACCCGGCACTTGAGTTTGAGCTGTGGCTCAACGCTCAGAACTCAGCTCCGATTGAGTCGTGTCGTTTCGAGTGGAGGGTGGAATAGAATGATATTTATGCATTTTTAGAATATCGATTTAAAATTTGAATACTTTGGAAAATCCTTGTCTTCTTACTATAAAAAAAAATGGAATTCCACTGAACTTTCTATAAAATTTGAAATTTACTGATTTTTCCCTCTGTCATCGAATATAAAACCTGGCACTTTCTCTAAGAATTCCTATTGAATTTGTATTGGAGCTCTATGAGAATCCTATTTAAGTTTTATTGCAATTCTATTTTTTTTTGCGTCAATGCCATTGAAAATTATGCAACTTTCCCCTGCATTTTTAATAGATATTTGTTTGTAGAAAAAAATCCATTGATTTTTCTAGATAATTTATTCTGTTAGGATTTCTTCCACAGAAACTACTGGGCATGAATTTTCCAAGTTTTGTTCCTGCATTTGATTAAAAGAAAAGAAGAAAAACCGAGCGGAAAAAACTTGGAAATCTTACGCCTAAGAAAATCAATAGGAACATAAAAACCTATTTATTTTCTTGCACCAAATTTTACCTTAACAAAAAGACTATCGAGTTGCATAATCTCCTATAGAATCGGCGCAAGAAACGAATAGAATTCTAATAGAACTTCCGGAAAATTCTCATAGAATTCCAATAGAAATTTAATAGAAAGCGCTAGTTTTTTCTGTTGAATTTTTTCATGCGTGTTATTTCGGCATACCTGTATTCAACATTTCCCTAATAAATCGTAGAATATTCTTAGAACTCGTAGGCCTATCGAAAAATGAATCCTCTCCTGTAGCGTTGATAATTAATAATAAAGGTTCGTTAACGTTTTTCAAGTGAGTATTTTTCTTGATTTTGTTTTTTGTATTCGCGAGAAAAAAGAAAGTTTCGACTACGTTTCAGTGAATTGTTCTACCTTGTATTTTCAGATTAATCCCATTCGATTAGTTAATATCACGTTATTTCTGATGAGCTTGTGATTGTTCATCTGAAAAAGCATGCCATCTTCACATTTATTCGATTGTTTTTTCGCTCAAATCACGATGCCATCGGACCTGTCAAATCATTATTGAGGTTAAGTATACTGGGATTGAGTAATTGGAGATGAACCTGAGGTTGAGCAGTGGCCATTCAACTAAAGCCCGGCGAAGCGTTTCGCGTAATAGTCTAACGCTGGGCTGTGAGCGCGTGACGCGGCTCAACCTCGGGTACATGTGACGCGCGTAGAGTTTATCCCAAGCTGGGGCGGAGTGGCGTATTTATAGCTGGGATACGGGTTCCGAGGCGAGCTCGAGCGGCGTAATTTCTACCCGGGATCGGACTTGATCAGTTTCTGATCGAGAACTGAACAGAATTTCCATTCGGGATACTATTTAGGCCGTATGTCGAATGATATGTTTGTTTGTGTAGCGCTGCCTTACGGCCGGAATGACGAAAAGATTTATTGTCGATATAATTTGTGATGTCATCAAGCTCATCATTAAATCATCTGATAAGCTTTTCATCATTTGTGACTTTAAAAAAACGTAACAGAATGCCATACGCCTTCGGTAGAAAATTTTGTTGACATTCGATTAGGAATGCAAAATGACGGTAATTTTTGGTATGCGTCGCAAAGTTACCGTTTTCTGACCATTTCTGACTTGACGCATACCTGATGATGCAAACTGACCGGTCAGCTTACCCAATCGTTAGTAATTTTTTCTCGTCATTTATGCTGAAAAGTCGTTCGTCTAGATGTAACCTAACCGTCATTTTTGTTCTCGGTCATTTTTTTTTTCATTTTTTTCATGAATTTTTTCATAAATTTGAATAAAATTATGAATGACGCCGAAACGAAAATCGTAAATTCGAACAATGGTCCAACGGTTTGAATATTACGTACTTCCTATAGTATTCAAACCGCTTGACCACTGTTTCCTTAACCGTAGACTGGTCACCCTATGAAGGAAACCCCGCCACGCGTCGTTTTTCTTTAATTACATTTGACTAGCTAACCAGAAAATTAAAAAAAAATTGACTTTGTCAATTAAAGTGTCTACAAAATTATGGTAGTTGTTAGAACACGATATTTCCCAACATTCCTAAAGAAAGCAAATCATTTCGAACAGATGAATTATTTTTTCCCATGTTATATGAAATTGCCCACGGCGCGACTTTGCCAGAAACTCGCTAAACGCGCCCGGGCAGTGCAGAGTGAATTCGACAACGCTAAAGCCTAAATAACACAGCGGGGAATTAGTGATGCCACGAGACATTTCCCGACACAATACTTTGGAGAGATTGCTTCGGTCTCAGTGAACACGGAAAATTTTGGTTTCGTCTCAGTTTTTAAATGGCCAGTGTCGACTTCTCTCGTGATGACTCTGAGTCAATTTATGTCATTTTGGTTTCCAGTTTTTCGCCTTTTTTATGACCGAGATGAGACAAACCGAGACAAAAACCGAGATTTTACATTAAAAAATACGAAAAACTTGAGACCGAGATGAGATAAATTGACTCGGAACCATCACGAGAGGAGTCAATATTGCGTATTTCGCGACTGAGACGAGCGCAACGATTTTCATGTTCATTGAGACCGAGAGCATCTCTCCAAAGTTTTGTCTCGTAAAGTGTCTCGCGGCATCACTACGGGGAATCCCCGCAGAGGTGACCAAAGTTGCAGGGACGCGTTTGGTGACCAGACTAGGGTTAATCAGAAGGGTCAGAAGAGTGAGAAACTTCACAAGCATCATACGGTTGGAATTACCAGAGTGAAATGGTCGAGAAAATGTGCAATGCAGGCAAGAGGGTCATATATGGGTACGATTCAGGGAACCAAAGAGTTTAGAAGTGCCTTATGGATGTGATAGTTAAGAATCAAATGACATGCATGAGAAGATCATGAGGATCAGACAGGATCGTATGCATGAGCTCGAATAAAAAATTTGAGTTTCACTTTCAGCGATGATTTCTAATTATCTAATGGAAGTCATTAGAAATCACTACCGGAAATGGAAATCACTTGATTTCCAGTGATTTCTGGTGATTTCTTCCTTAATTTCCAATCGAGTGGTAAAGTGATTTTCTAAGTGACCAGCCCTTCGGCACAAATAATACACTTCAGTAAATATATTTTCGTGAGAAGACCCGGTAAACCGCGATTCTAACCTCGCTTCGCTCGGTTTGATCGCGGTTTACGGGCCTTCTGACGAAAAATTGCATTCATCACACGGTCCAAAAGTATTTTCTGACGAATGTGATTATAGGCCTCGCCTTCGGCTCGGCCTACAAAGCCACGTTCGTCAGAAAATACTTTGTGGACCTTGTGATGAAAATAACTATTTCGGCGTTTACCAGTGACTGTGATAAGAATTCTAACAGAATTCCAATAGAAATTCAATTTAGTTTTTCTGTTGAATTTTGGGTGCAACTATTGATCGTTGCAAGCGCCAATTATGACTAAATCTCTGACCTACCTCAAGAAGACCAATGTACTCGAATTCAGGTCGAATTGTTGTTTCTCGATAGCCCCAGAGTGACAGCTGAACTTCAGCATTTAGATTGCTGGTCAAGTTATAAGCATCCCAAGTTATTCTTATTTCCCGGGGATCTCGTTCGTGCACTGCTCGATTTTGGAAGTATATCCTCTCGGTTGCTGTTGCTGGAGTTTCTGGAAGAATTTTGAAGGATGGAGAACTAAGTTTCATTTTTCAATTATCGCGTTCTCTATAACGAGTGATAAAAATCCAATGATTTTTTAATCGAAATGAAATCTCTGAGAAATGCTTCAAGATTTCGCTAGACATAGCTAGCTGATTTTTTCAGATAATTTTTGGGCGTGAATGTCGGCTCTTTACACTGATAGACTGATTCATTCATTTCAAACGAGATTCGTTAACTATTAACGAATGGGAGAGTTGAATATGACCAAATCAATATTCGTTAATAGTTAACGAATGGTTCACTTGAAAGGTGAAAGTCGAGTCCAACAAGGCTCCTCAAATATGCATTTGTTAACTATTAACGAATGAACATGTGGTGAGACCGAATAGATCCTAGACTTCAACTAAATCCATTTGTTAACAATAACTAATCATCAGTGTAATTCCGTAGCGAAGTAGTAAAAGGAGATGAGTGCATTAAAAAAAATTTTTTTTTTGCGTGAATCACAATGGAATATTAATTTTAAAATGGTAATAATAATATTACGAATTTCGAAAAAAATGCACTCCTCTGCTTTTACCACTTCGTTACTGAATTGATTGTATCACGGATACAGCCGCTTGTAGTTTTGCTTTTCACTCTACACCGAGAGAAAACAAGTTCAACACATGTTCCTAAACAAGTCTTATTGGAATTAAAACAAGTCGAGAATAAGCCCCCAGAGGCGAAAATAATCGATAAAATGTCGATGCGTGACTTTTTAGAAAAAAAGTTTTTTGGATGAATTGCTCTATACCCGGGTGTATTGAATAAATCGACAATAATAGTAATTAGTAGCCAGAATCTCAGATGTTCACTCCAAGTGTTGCGCATATTTCGGAACCTGCGACAAACATGCGAGTTGGAATGTCGTGTTTTCCTCCCTTGGTACGCAATCTACTACACGGAGCGAAAAATTCAATAAAAATTACCAGAAAAAACGTAAAAATTACGTTACGAAACGAAATTCGCGAGCGAAGTAAAATTCAATAAAAAGTTTGAGTCGGAACTGAAATTGTACGAATCGCCACGTAAATTCTACGATTTGTTTCGTAGAAATTAACCACCCGTCTGATGACTCACCGCTGTGGGGATAACAAATCGTTCGATAATTTTTCTCCAACGATTGAGAAATTTTACGCAACGGAACGTAGAAATAATTCACCAGCTTCATAAAAATTGTTGAACGTTCAAAAATTTTTGATTTTGGAGGTAATAAGTCGGGAAGTTTCTGTAAGATTTTACTTCTTCGGGAAAAATTACGTGACAATTTCGTACTTTGTTCGGTGATGAACCTGAAAATTCACTGAACGTTTCAGATTTCTTCGCTTCCATTCATATAAAAATTGCCGGAAAACGATTCCCCATTGCGGATTACATGAATTGTTCCATAATTTCTACTGAATATTTCTCTCAGCTTCTCAGTGACATCGATGATAACCTAGGATCTATTTTGCTTTTTGTCCACTTACCAATGAAGAATTTTCCCTTCCAATCGAACTGTCCATTATTGACGACGATAGCGAATCTGATATATCCCTCGGCTTTCACGAATGGTTGAATGCAAATAACACGATTCCTGTCAATTACTGTGCCGAAGACTTCCTCAGTATCAAATCGACATTTGATTTTATCTTTTGGAAGGAAACAAGGCCCTGTGATATTTACTACAGTACCACCGAGCATATTTCCACTTTCCGGAGCGAATGTCAACGGTAAATGTGCTCCAGCTGTAATACACATGCAATTAATTGATCATACACTGTTAAAAATTTTCTTCTGAATTTTCCGTGCCAAATTCCAGAAATTTTTATCGTGTTCAAGTTCAACTGTAATTTCAGGAACTTTTGTCATGGAAAAGTCGAATATTCCATTGATTGTTTATTCAAATGATCTGAAAATCAATAAAATACTTGATTTTTCAGTTCAATTATTCCGTGAAAATTCAGAAAAAAAATGAAAATTCATGTCATTTTGTTTTTGAATATTCATATTCCACTAAAAATTCAATTAAATTGTGAAACTTTCATTATTCAGAAAAAAAATTATTCTGTGTAAAATGTAATTTGAATGACGCCGAATATTTATGATTTTTTCAAATTTTTTTCACTGTGAAAGATACTTAGATATCCTTAAGGAACACGTCTATATGAATTTTCAATATTATGAGGTTGGATTCAATTGAAGGTCAAATCATTTATGGAACTCCCTATTCATTGTGTAAATTTCTAAATATTTTTTCATGCTCTAAGTCTGTCGCCAATGAGAAATTATGAAACCCGTATGTGAGTAATTCCATATTATTGAGCTTTCCAATGGCATTGGTTAATTTTCATTATCTGTCAGTTTTCAAATCATTCAATTTTAAAATACGTTTCCCTTGATACGTTTTCCTTCGAGTGAATGTGACATCTAGAGACCGTACTTGAAGAGTCAAGTGATCATTAATATTTCCATGACAGCTTGATTTTTCCATTTTAAAAATAGAAAAAATCACACGAAAATGAAAATTTTAGCACTGTTCCATTGGCCCTAGATGTAGACTTGAATACATGAATGCAATCTATAAATTTTACTCTTTATAATACAAGAAAAACTTGAATTGATGAAAAGTCCATTGGCTTACCGATATCTTTGTTGCAAGTTCCATGCATTATCTTCTCATCAATCCGGAAAATGTGTCTGCCTTCAAATCCATTAGCCCAGCCCCGACTGGTCAGATCCCGAATAGTTGACATTTGTGAATAGGGTTTATACTCGTAGCTCTGAGTTCCGTTGCCAGCATTGAAGCCCACCTAATAACATTACATGTACAATTTCATTTTGATTTTAATAAAGATTTATTGGTAAATTTATACATACAAGATATATTTTTAACAAAATATAACAACAGCTTATGATACCTTATGATACCCGAATCATGCTTAGCCCTTAAGTGATTACGCTTAAGGTATATCCCTCAAAAACACGTTTTTCTTAAGATTGTCCCCATTCTTTTCATAGATAATATTTATAATAGTCCCCAGCTATTGAAAAAAATCCTAACTAGCTGTACTACCTAGTTTAGGAGATAATAAATAATGAAATGCAGACTTCTCACACGCGAGGCGCACGGAGAGAAATATTCAGTAAAAATTATGGAACAATTCACGTAATCTGCAATGGGGAATCGTTTTCCGGCAATTTTTATAGGAATGGAAGTGAAGAAATCTGAAAGCTGGTGAGTTATTTCTACGTTCCTTTCCGTAAAATTTCTCAATCGTTGGGAAAAAATTATGGAACTTGTTGTCCCCATAGCGGTGAGTCATCAGATAGGTGGTTAATTTTTACGGAACAAATCGTCGAATTTACGTGGCGATTCGTACAATTTCAGTTCCGACTCACACTTTTTATCGAATTTTACTTCGCTTGCGGATTACGTTTCGAAACGTAATTTTTACGTTTTTTTCTGAGAATTTTCCTCATCCAAATGTCAGCCAATAGAATTGCAAAATTCGACTGTTATTGATAATTTTTGATAATTCAACTGGTAATTTTTCATGTTGACTATATTTGTGGAAAACAAAAGATTCCGTGGTCGAGTGAACCCCTGGTTGGAACTGTCAGATGGATTTTGTCTCATAGTGCAATTCTTCTGGCCGGCATTTGGATGGGAAAATTCCCTCCCGAATCCTACTCGAGCTTCAAAATTAATCGAGTAATTCCCTCAAGGTTCCCTGCACACAAACTTGACTCCTTCGTTTGTTTGAAACGAACCTATCGGGAATTGCTCGATAATTTTGAAGCTCTCGTGGTATTACTTGTGGTAATTTTTACTGAATTTTTCTCTCCGTGCATAGACCAAACGGGGGTTACAGGTCTTTTCGAACTCGATTTTCTCATCTTATGAGAAAACGGTTTTTACGATGTTCTTAAAGGACTAATCCGTGATGGATAGATAAATTCCGAATAGTGAATTTTCTGTAACATTTTGTACTACATAGTTTCTGCGACATTCAAAATATTCAAAAAATTCGATAGGAAATGATTTGGATTTTTTTAAAGGATTTTTTCCCGGTAGAAAATTGAAAATTTCTGTTGAAATTACTTGTTGTTATCAAATATTTGCATAATAAAAAAAGAAAAAAAAAATCTCCGCCAATCCTGAGAAATACGGGCGGGCAGTATTACCCGGTGGGCGGTGCAGGCACCAGCTCCCCTAATGAATCATTTACGGATACTTACATAAGCGGGCACTCCACCTTCGCCACCAGTGGTATCCCCACCAGCCTCAGTGTGACTCGTCCACTGTATGTCATGATAATTGAAGATAGCGTACGTGTAAACCTCATCAGTTGCCAAAACTAATTGAAAGGTATTAGTTTTATAGAGGGAATTGTCAATGCCTCCGGCGAAGGACATATTTTTCCACGTGACAATGACAGCATGTTTTGGTTGAAATGTATCGGATCCAACTACTCCCTCTCGAATATCCCATTTTACTCTTTCCCTCATCTCTACACCAAACTGATCAGTTCTCTTCTGCAAGTCCCTCTCCATTCTGTGAATTTATAAATTTCTTACATTCTTTTGTTGTGGATTCTTTCATATTTTTAATTTTCGAGTTTGATCATATGTATAGAGACATTTGATAAATTTTCATTTTTACGTGAGACTTATTCTGTTACGAGTTTTTCGTGAAAATTTGTCGGTAGAAACTCCGCACTGTATTTTTTTGTACTGACGAATTCGAAAGGAAATCCTATCGTTCACTAAGAAATTCGATCAATAATTCTATTATTTTTTTGCACAATATTTTCGGAAAATTTTGTAGCTTTTCAGCGTGTTTTTTTTAAATAAGAAACATATTGCATGGAGGAAAATTAACCCCTCACGTACGGGATCAATGCTTGGTATCGAGCCATACGAATGTGAATACTTGTTTTCAAAACTGATTATTTCTAAATCTATGCAGAATAACATGATCAGACAAACAAAATTGGAAACCGGAATACTGTAACTTCAATTACATATCGGTTTCATAATTTTCCATTCAGTAGAAATAATCGAATTCGAGTCGTATTGAGCACCCACTACGCTTGGTAACAGCAGGGCTGCGTGCGTGAGGGGTTAATAGACCTGTTTATTCTTTAGATATTCAACATGGAGAAAATTATTTGGTGAATTTTACTAAGCAGTTGGTGAAATTTAACAAATATTCAATTAAAATTCAGAAAAAGATTTTTCAATTTCATTCGACAACCATTTATTAAATTTTCAATAAACTTTCGTCGATTTATTGAAAATAAACTTGAGAATAAACTTTCGTCGATTTATTGAAAATTTAATAAATGGTTGTCGAATGAAATTGAAAAATCTTTTTCTGAATTTTAATTGAATAGTTGTCTACAATTCGAATTGTAGACTATTGCGAAAATATCTTCTAGGGGAGACATTGGTCAATTGTCAAGATATAAATGATTGCAGGATTGTTGTCAAATGCATCACCATCTAGTTTGGTAGTCAAAATTTATCGAATGAAATTGAAAAATCTTTTCTGAATTTTAATTAATTAGTTGTTAAACTTCACCAACTAGTTGTTGAAATTCAACAACTGGTTGGTAATTCATTTTTTCAACAACGAGTTGGTGAAATTCGTAAAATAATTTTCTCCGTGAAAACTGATTGATTTTTTCCATTGATTTTTTTTTTGTTAAAAGTTTAGTAGATATTGATAAAAAAAATTACGTATATACGTGCGTCGGTCCAAATCTATTCCATAAAGAGTGTGAATCAGTTTTGGATGGCTACTCGTGATTCTTCCAGACTGGTCAGAATTTCATCATTAAACTTTCGGATCAGAATCTATAGAGAGAGAAAAACGAGCAAGTTCTCAAACAAGTCTTATTTGGGTTAGCACAATCGTTAGTTGAAAATTATCAAAAAAATAATTGTTTGGTTCGAATTTGAAAGTCGTAAACACGAACGATTTGTTTGGCACCAGTAAGACTTATTTGACTCTTGTTTGGCTTGTTTAACTCTGCTATTTTTCTCTAAGTGTAATAAGATCTTGAACTAAGTGAATTCCAATCCTAGCATTCTAATCAGGCATGAATGCTAGCTTAAGCGTTACATTCCTCATCCAAAACTGACTGAAGTCAGTTTTTACTGATCGCTCCCTTATTCTAGCCTAATTTGAATGTCCACTGGGAGTATTGTTTTCAATACCTGAAGTAAACTCCTGGCTCTCGTTGATCGATATCAGTAGGTCGAAGTGATCCAATCCGACATTTGCTGAAGAAGATGCCAATAAACGCAGGGTCGTTCTTCTTCGGCCAGTCTTTCACGGGAAAGACCAATGGATACGTGTAATGATTCGGAGGATCACTGAATTCCAAGTATCCATTCATCGATAACTAAATAGTAAATTTTATTAGCGTCGTAATTGCATCTAATGAAGATTAGTCGAGAAGTGGTAAAACAATTTGCGACGGCACAACTCATTCCGCACTGAAAAAAATCCGCCGTCGATTTCAAAGCAGGAATACCCAAATTTGTAATATTTTATTACGGTTAATATTGTAGCCCTTAATTAGATAACATCACTCTTGAAATTTTTTTAGTACTTAAGTATCATCACTTCAAATATTCAAATTTTCAACTATTTTATCAATCAATAATTTGAGGTAGGAAGATTGACGATTGTTTGTGTAATCGAAAATCCCCTTTCAAGAAATTTGAATTATTCACTTAGTAGTAAATTTGCAGTTTCATATTAACAAATTTTAAATAGATCATTATTCGTAAAAAATCAGATTATTAATTTTATATTATTTGAAAAATTGAATCAACATATTTTAAACCTTGAATAATGTAAAGGTCAAATCCTTGTAATATTACAGAAATTTAATATTGATGGGGATCCCTGTTTCAAAGGCGGGCTCACTTTCGATAAAAATTCAAAAGCGGCGACTTTGTTATTAATTCATTGTTTTCGGCCCATGGAGTTGTACTTTACGCCGTTGAAAAGGCCCGTTGATGAACGCTGGTGAAAATTATCCAAAAACAGGAACCTTTGGTTTAAAGTTCCTCACGTCTTTGATTTCTATATCCATTAAAATTAAAAGCTTAGGCTTAGGCTTAGCCTTACGCTAATGCCTTGCGTCATTGAATTGCAAGATACAAAGACTCGTAGGCCTTTGGACTAAAAATTCCCTCGACTTTGAACGCATTTATGGGCGCAATGCCCTGAATTATGCGCCGCACCGTTGAATGAGCGTCGGATTTTTCACAGTGCGTTGATCGTTCAATTATCTTAGTAATGAGATAGCAAAAACGGTCTTCTGACGTGTTGTCTTAAAACTGCTTGTTTCTTTGATCACCACTAGAGTTGTGAATATGATCGTTTTTTTGTCATATTACAAAAAGGTGACGGTCATGTGACGTATTATATTTTTTGTTATACAATTAGAAAAAAAATTAGCTCCACCGAAAAACTACATGTTCCACATGAGAATATTTGATGGAGTGGAACAAATTTACTTGAGGGAAATTTATCAACTTGATAGAAGGAACTTTAATATCTTTCAGTAAAAGCACAATGATTTAGTCGGTTATTGGACTGGTTTCCAGGTCAGTTTTTAGCTCGGGTATGCAATATTTAGGCCAAAACCTTGCATACCCAGGCCAAAAACCAACTTGGTCTGGAGGCTTTTGTCCTACAAGGAGAATATATAAATAAAAATTACTGGGTGAAAGTAGTAATCGGGACCACACGTTCTAGCAAATTCGCTAAAAAGCTCTATTGGCATTGTATAGGAATTCGGTGGATTTTTCATAGGATTTCAATTGGCATTCTATCTTGTATTTTAGTTTTTGGCCTCTGCGGTCATTAGCTGATTCGATGTGAAGGAATCTATTATGTCCAAATGATAAAAATTGATCCAATCATTTGGATTAAGTCCAATATTTCGACCCCCTTTGCGGGGTCCTCCTCAGGGGCACATTTTATTGATGTCTACAAACAAATTAAAAAATATGAAGTAATGAACAGTTTAAAACCTATTGTATACAAAACTGCATGAATCATTAACCACATTACAGTAGAGGCTTCGTATAAGATGCCTGAGGGACAGTAGGAGAGTGAAATTCCGGGAACCCCTATGCGCCCAATACGCGCGCATAGAGAGGAGAAAAATAGGGATCAGCAGGTTTCAAATGAGATACCTCGCTCGTTGCGCCTGAATTCAATGAAATTGTCATTTTTACTGAATGAATATCGATAACTAATCAATTTATATGTGTTTAATGTTTTGAATTCGTATCGCCCGCGTTCCCTGTTCTCTCTAAACATAATAACCCCGCGTGATAAAATGGCAGCTGATGTTGGGGGATTGTTGGTGGATTCGAGTATAATCACAGACGAAAAATTACGATTTCCCGTCGAGGCGATAACAGTGCCGAGAGTGGGGATAGGCCTCGAGCACTCACAGCGCGAGGTATCTTATAGAAAGGTATTTTATACGAAGCCTCTACTGTATCTAACAAATAAGTCCCAACATGTTGCTCCTCACCCAGACATTAACTCTATACCCCAATAATATTATGCCTATAATATTGGGCTTAATCCAAATGATTGGATCAATTTTTATCATTTGGACATAATAGATTCCTTCACGTCGAATCAGCTAATAACCGCAGAAGTCAAAAACTAAAATACAAGTTGAAAATTCGGTCGAAATCGTCTTGACAACATTGGCATTCTATTGAAAAATGCTATTCTTTTTTTGCGCTGATTCTATTGGATATTCGATAAGAAAAAGTCAACAGATTTCGAATTTCTGTTTGAATTTTTCTCTTGAGATTTTTTCTATAAGAATGGTTAGGCATCAGTTTTCTAAGCTTTTTCCGTTCGGATTCTGTAATGCAAAACAAAACAAAATCCAGCGGAAAAAAACTTGTGCCTTGCGTGAAAATTTGTGCCCAATAATTCTAATAGAAAAAATCTCAAGAGAAAAATTCGAACAGAAATTCAACATATATTGACTTTTTCCTATCAAATATGCAACAGAATCAGCGCAAGAAACAAGTTGAATTTTTTAATAGAATTCCAATAGAAATCCTATAGAAACGCCATAGAATTCCTACAGAATTCCAATAGAATTTTCTAGCGAATCCGCTAGGTTTTCTATTGAATAGTTTTCATATGCGTATCATTGAGCAGACCAAACTGGTTATAAAAACGCGTTTCTTTTTTCAATCCGAAAACCGACCAAATTGGTCGCCTTGACTTATTGTCCAGAGTGACATCAAATTACTAATGAAGAAAACAAGCGTGCACTAACCCTCGTGTAATTGTACCGAAATCCATAGAACGGCAATTGAAAGTTAAAGTTTTTATGTATCTGTGGCATCGAGGAGTGCACATCAGTCTGAAAATCGCCCCTATTATTCTCTCCACACTTATCAAAATACCAGTACATCTTTTCAGACCGAATTTTCCTCCATCTCTCCTCGGTCATCACATAATAGCGCGGCGAATTTTCCGGCGATGGTGCACATCTGATCGCTTCTGGATCATCAGAATCTGCGAGAAAATAAATCCCAGCTCATAATCGACAGGAACAAGTGTGTGAATCAGGTGAATTATTTCACACCAGAAAGAGTAGTATTCATGCGCCGGTGATTCATCACCGATTCATGTTCCGAGTGAGTAACTGATAAGCACTGATAACATCCAATACAATCAAACGCGACGTACAAATAAAATGAGGCAATGTATGCAAACATGCTAAGCATGACACCTTCCTCATTATAGAACCAATTAATCAATTATGAGAAATCCAATTACAATAATTGATGAACAATTATGTGAGTCCTGATAAGTTAGCTTGGAGCAATCCGTCTAATGTCATTAGAACGTGATAAACCTGGTCACGCCCATTGATAATAGATAACTCACCGTAATTCACGTATTTTTCACTCCGTACTTCATCAATTCCCCTGGATATTCCTGGTGACTCCCGATGAATCTCTTGAGGAGTCTCGTTAACGTGAGGATCAGCATTGTCGAATGCTGATGGAGAGGACCCCAGAACCTTCGGTGAGTCCTCACTCCTGAGATCATTCTCGTCCTGATTCACATGGAGAGTGTCATCAGGCAGTTTCTCAACCAAATCCTCCAACTCTGATGACACTGTATCCACTTTTGCTTCATCTTCTTTTCTCTCCGGCTCAACTACATTGTCATGTGTCCCCGATACCTCAGAAGACTCGATAGGGTCTAAACTGAATGCACTTTCGAGGGTTTGATTGTCCAATTGCGCAATAACTGAGTTTATAAAGCAGGAAAGTAGAATAATTGTAATTAATTTGGCCCTTTTAGCTGGACCGAGAGACCAACTCCCCATTCTTTCACTAATTTTTTAGACTAATTGCGGAAACTGGTGTATTTGAGGTGAGCACTGTACGCTAGAACACTGGTGTGACGAATGGTGATGATAATAGCTTGGGAGATATCATCGAGCTATCCTGTGATAACGTACGTGGCTTATCTTCGTATCTTTACGTTCTCGGGATGAGTTACACGTTGAACGCTGCACGACGGCCCCTTTTGGCCTACTTTTCGGGAAAGCATATGAACTCTTCACTTATAGTTTTTTCTTTAAATCGTATTGTTGCAGTTTTGTTGATGGAACACTTGATGATCCAACAGGTCAATTAAGGTGTTCCCGGCGAAAAATGTAAATGATAACATTCATCTGGAAATCATACAGTATGTTTATAATCATATCTGCATTATCTCTGAATTTTTATAGAATTTTTCTAGATATTTTTTTCATGTTATTGAAAATCGAAATGGCCTCTTATACATGGATTCTTATGGAAATTTTTCTGTTTAACACGAAAATGCGCTGCAGTCTGAGCTGATAATATAGTTCCATGGTAAGTTGAAAAATCGCCACAAGCGTTCATGTACGAGAAATTGAATTGGTTGTTGATAACTTGTCAACGAAATCTGGAAAAATTCGAAGAAAAATTTTTTTTTTATTTGAACAAAAAAAATTAATACACTATCTGATAACTATAATAAACGTCCTGTAAAAATTTCGAATCAACGTCATCATTTTTTTTATATTGAAACCTGTTAATGACGCTCGATTGAATGTTTCAGGCTTAAAATTTTTCGTTCTACTTCAAAATGTTCGAAAATGTCTTTAAAAGAAACAAAACATAGTTTTTGATTAGAAGTTTTCTGAATTTTTCGAAAATTATGGTTATTCAGCTGAAGGAAAAATTTCCCCGCTCAGAACCTATGTTTGGAATTTTATTTAGGTATTTTTGGTCATATCAAAATTGAACGAAGAATTTCCAGCCAAAAACGCCCAATCACGCGAAACGTCACCAACTGATAAACCGTGGGATCTCTACTACAGGAAAGATCTGCTTTTTTATACATAAGTATTAGAAAGGAACAAAACACAATTCAATTGCTGATCAATGATGTCCGGTAAATTAAATTATTAAGAATCTTTACATTCACATTATCCTTTCCATAAAATTATTGTTGAAAGTGTTCATGTCATCGTTGCCAATTGCCTAAAATTACCAATTAAATTGAATTTAATAAAATAAAAAAATAATAACGCAATTAATTGATTTTTCACGTGCGCCTGAAAATTTATGGCCGTCAAAATGTTTTGCGCCGAAAAAATCCCGTTCCGTGCTACTCTGTCGAATTCCTGAGTGAACAATGCAGCTCCTTTGAACCTACCCTCCTTATCCTCCGGTATGTAGTGCATGCCAACGTTTTTGTAAATTTCCTCGAAACTGTCTAAGCATTGACATGTATAATGTATATACTACACATATTCATATTAGGGAAGGGTGTGGTAAAATGTACACTTTAGACTTTTTTAAAATTATTCGTAACTCAGAACCAAATTTATCAATTGAGCTCAGTTTGGGCTCGTCACAAAGGGAAAGGATTGTTCTTTATATTGAAAAAAAAAATTAAATTTTCTCAACATTTCAACCCCTCATTAACATTTGAAAAAAAAAAGTCAAAAGTGTCCGTTTAACCCCAAACTCCCCTATACATATTATATTACTACACACATTAATATGAGGTATTCCATGCCAAATGAGTCAACGGCTGACCCTCACCCTCTTGAAAATTGATGGCGATTTTTTCTACGATTGGGGGGCTTGAAAAACTATCTCTCAAATTTTTAAAGATTTTTTTTACAGCCCAGTTCGGAATTTTTTTTTTTCAAATTGTTTGTTTTTTTACAATAACACGAGTTCTATTCATCCGATTTCGATTTATTAGGGATCAAAATTTTCCATTTTTCACCACCTATAAGAATGTTTTTTATCCAAATTTTTTCCAATCTCTAGATGCTTGAAATAACGAATTTTCGAAAAAAAACGTTGAAAAACTTGAATTTGGCTAATTACGTCACGGTTGATTATTGTAATTTTTTTTCAGTAATTCCTATAATAAAAATAAAAATTTTGAGCCGTCATACATGTTGGATTTCGTCTTAGATCCATTTAATTTTTAATTTTTTTATTCTCAAAATTCCGCGAATTCGGTCAAAATACCCCAAAATGTCATTGGTTGACTTTGATTATAAACAGTATGAAGTGGAGACAAGGGTCTAGTGCAATTGGAGACAAGGGTCTATTCGATCTCACCAAATGTTCATTCGTTAATAGTTAACAAATGTATATTTGAGAAGGCTTGTTTGACTCGATTTTCACCTTTCAAATGAACCATTCATTAACTATTAACGAATATTTATTTGGTCATGTTACTCATATTCAACTCTACCATTCGTTAATAGTTAACGAATCTCGTTTGGAATAAATGTATCAGTCTATCAGTACAGAGTGCAGAATTATGATATTTGATAGTTATTCGGTTAAGGAAGGGGAGGGGGTGGGCAAAATGGATTGGTGGGGCAAAACGGAGGGTCGTGAACAAATAAAAAAAATGATTAATTAAGCCACTCGGGTATCAACATGTATTTCATCAATATAATTGATGCGAAATTATTGATAAATACAATTCCGTACAGACGACACTATAGATTTAGAGATTTTCAATTATCAAATTTGTCAATTAAAATGCGCAGGAAAAAATGGAAAAAAATCACACTTAACCATAACCCAACATATTAATTTTTTTAAAATTTCCTTCGTATAAATAAATAATGCAAATTGTTTAAACTTCCGGAAACCTCCTTTTTTTCATGAAATAGATTCCTGGTAAAATTCTAAATATAATATAAATTTATTCCCAATTTGAAATAATTATACCGGTCCATTTTGCTCATATAAATCCTTAATTTTTATTGCCCATTTAAATATTTATATGCGTAATATGAGATCTATCAACCATTTTTTTGGAAAGTAATCGGACGATAACGGCCGCATACCCTTGTTCCTATTAATTCTCATAATTTTCTCAAACTCCAAACTTTACCTACCACCCAATTGGAATTTAACGGGCAATGACAGAAACATCATTAACGCCGATCATTTTTTATCACCCAGTCGGAACTAATCAGACTGTTTTACGAGGGGGGATTGTTGGTGGACTCGAGAATAATCACAGACGAAAAATTACGCTTTTTCGATGGGAAAAGTGAAAAAAAAATCGATGTATATTTCCATTACTTGAAAAAAGTGGTGTGACCCCCCTTTGAGGTCATTATGGGACCATTTGACCCATTTGACCTTTAACACCGTTTGATCTCCATAATTACTCTCTTCTCGTTGAAAGATGACCGGGGCCATAGGTGTCTTATAAGAAGCTCACGGAACATAAACATTCAGGAAGTGATAAAAGTGCCGAGAGTGGGGGTAGGCCTCGAGCGCTCGGAGCGCAAGGTATCTTATAGAGAGATATCTTATACGAAGCCTCTACTATATTTACAAGTATTTAACATAAAATTGTTTGCATTCAAGTCGAAAGCGAGTTCAGCACACATATTCGCCTGAAATTTTTATTTCGGCAGAATAACAAAGCACATTCTTTTGTCACGACATTGGTGAGCAGCTTTTTAGCGCGCGCAGCATGCGTGAATCGAGGCTTCACGAACTGAGTGACAAAAAAACTTTCTCAAAAAAAGGATGATTTGCAGAGGAGTTTTGTTTTATTGACGAATCACTTCTTAATGAAGCGTCGGAGACAAAAATTTCATAAATTGTCGTCTGCAAATAATCCCCCGGGGTACTCTCACGATATGTGAGATCAATTTTGAGACACCCTGCATATGGATATATTCAATATTATAGGATCATTCCAATTACATGCACAAGTACGAAAAAATTTAATAGAAAAAACCTTGCTAAGCAATTTTGTTGGACTTTTATTGAAAATTTTATTAGGTTTCCATCGAGTTCATTGAAAAATCCCGCAGCTTCTTCGCGCATTTTTCCTTGGCACACATTTTTGAAGTAACTTTCACTGCTTTTTCGGTAAGGCAAGGAACTAGTACAATTGTTCAGTGAATACGCTAAATTTAGATGACATTTTTTCGTGCGTGGATCGATCTATTGATAGACATCTTATATGTATCTATTGAACAGTCGAGAAGAATCGCCGCCTCAATAAATCTTCGCATTCATTCCTTTGAATTGTTTCCCCATTAATTCGAAAGATATGTCTGCCTGGAAATCCGTTGGCTCCTCCGTCCCTCAGTAGATCGCGAATTAAATGCGATTGTGAGTAGGGCTTATATTCGTAGCTATGTGTGCCATCTCCAGCATTAAATCCAACCTGTACAGAAAGAAAAAAGGTTATTTTTAGTCGTATACCTTCATTTTCTAGGGATTTATCCCTAATTTTCATAGATACTGGATACTGAGTAGAAGTACCCTTAGGATTAAGAATATTCATCCCTGAAATTTGGGAATAAAATCCTTAAGATTCAGAATCGAAACATCTGTAATGCCGTGAGTAAGTCCATCGTCGAAGGACTAATTTTGAAATTTTTGTTGCAGTAATTGTTTAGAAGAAATATTACGGACTCAGTAATCAAAGAAAATTAATTTATTCAATTAAAAGCGTATCAACAGCTGAACTGTCATGCTACGAATGACGATCACACAAACATCAGAACAGAGACGTTCGAATAGTTGAAATACGATCGGGTGCCTTTCGCATACTCCTCTACTTCCAACACTTCCCCTCGAAATGCAAAACGATTATTTACATCTCGACCCTTTTGACACCTAAAAGATGTAGACATCTCTGATGTTTCAGTCGTGGTAATCCCTTGGTGAGGACGTCTGCAGCCATGTCATTAGTTGGACTATATCCAATTTCAAAATTCATTTCACTCTTCAGGATCTCTCTCACGAAGGGATGCCTCACATCAATGTGTTTCGTTCTGTTGTGAAATACTGGATTCTTCGCTAATTTTTGAGTTCCATGATTATCACTCAACAACTTGACATGGGCCAGTTCACTGAAACCATGTTCAATCAGAAATCTCATTAAATACAGACCTTTAGATGCTTCTGTTAAGGCCATGTACTCAGCTTCTGTTGATGAAAGTGCTACTGTACGTTCCTTCCTCGATTCCCCAGAGATTGGACATCCAGCCAGTAAGAATGCGTAACCTGTATAAGACCTTCTATCATCAACACAGTTTCTCCAATCTGCATCGACATATCCCTTCAATGGCCCCGTCATTCTCCTGAAGCATAATCCTACATCTTCAGTGCCCTTCAAGTACTGCAATACTCGTTTCGCTGCCTTCCAGTGAGTAGAATCATAGCAGGAGTTATACTGACTCAAATAACTCACAGCATGTGAGATATCTAGTCTTGTGCACACTGCCAGATACATTAGAGCTACCACCAACTCTCGATATGGTAGAATTTTCGACTCTGCAGTGTCTGGTTTCTCTTCATTTCTACTCAATCTCGTTGATGGGTCGATTGGGGTAGCCACTGGGTTTGAGTCCCTCATATTAAAACGTTCAAGTATATCTTGAATGTATCCCTTTTGACTCATCGAAATCCCTTTCTCAGATTCTGATAATTCTATTCCCAGACAATATTTTACTTTCCCAAGGCTTTTAATTTCGAATTCCCTCGATAGATGCACCTCAAGCCGTTTAATCAATTCCTTGTTCCTTGAAACAGACAGAATGTCATCTACGTAGACTGTCACTAGGAGTATATCTTCCCCTCGTGGGGAATAGAAGACACATTCATCTGATTTGGATTGTTTCAATCCAATTTTCGTCAATTCTTCACACAATCTTGAGTACCATTGACACCAGCTTGACGAAGACCATAAAGTGCCTTTTTCATCAGGCATACTTTATCTCCCTTCCTGAACTCCTCAAGAAGTTGCGTAGCCTTCTTCCTGGTTTCGTTGGTGCGTGGTTCGGTCTTCATAATTAATTGCAAAGTATCTTCTGTGTAGTCGGGTACCTCCATGAAGATCCTCTCCTCAAGTACGCCATTTATAGATACGCAGTCGTCACGTCATATTGCTTCATTTCCATCCCATATTGAGCTGCAATTGATGTGATCATGCGTATGGAGCTGCCTCGTGCTACTGGTGGAAATGTCTCATCGAAATCTATTCCAGGACGCTGAGAAAATCCTCTTGCAACGATTCTGGATTTTCTTCTCTCGAGAGTACCATCTGCATTGTACTTATTCCTCAATATCACTCGGCTGCTCACGACTGGTTGATTCTTTGGACGATCAACGAATACCCACATGTCATTTTTGATGATCGACTTCATTTCGGTTGCCATGGCTTGAATCCATTCCGTTGAATCTGGTCCTCGCATTGCATCATCAATACGAATTTCTGCAAAACCCCCAAATTCTTCAACACCATCAACTCCGCCGATATCTTCAATCATGCGATATTCTTTCCTTGGTCTTCCCCTCATTCCTGTCATAATCTTTCTTGGCCTCCCAGGACCTCTCCTTAGTTGATTGGCTCCTGCAGGTTCTTCTTGATTGAGATTTTTAGGGGGATTTTCAGCTTCACCTGCGATATCTTCATGATCCATCTCTTCACGTTGATCTCCAATTCCACCGTGATTCACGTCATCACCGTCGTTTTCTGCGTCAAACCAATTTTCTTCTTCATCTTCTTCAAATTGATTTGTGATACCAGTGACTGGAAATTCAATAGTTCCCTTATCTGAGTCTTCTTCTCTTCTGTTTTTCCTGAAGTCATCCGACTTCTCCACTCCAAGATTCTTCTGAATTTCCAGAAATTTCACATCTCGAGTAACGTCCACTTTTCGGTCTTCTGGTATCCACACTCTATAGGCTTTTGACTGCTCAGAATATCCAACAAAGATTCCAGTCTTCGATCGAGGATCAAATTTCCCTTTCTTTAGATCGCGATTCAAGGTAAGAACCTTGCATCCGAATTCTTGGAGGTGACTGACTTCTGGAACTTGACCAATCCATTTTTCATATGCTGTTTTCACCTCCAGAGCTCTAGAAGGACACCTATTCCTCGTATAATTTGCAGCAACGATTGCTTCTCCCCAAAATTTCTGTGGTAGCCCGGATTGGATCAACATACACCTGGCCTTCTCCACTAGTGTACGATTCTTCCTCTCCGCGACGCCATTCTGTTCTGGGGTGTGTGTTACTGTCAGTCTGCGACCAATCCCGTTACTCTTCAGTAGATCATTGAAAGAATTATTCACATATTCTTTTCCATTGTCAGACTGTAAAAATTTAATTTTCTTCCCCGTCTGATTCTCCACGAAATTCTTGCACTCGATGAATGCATTTTGAACCTCATGTTTCCCCTTTATGATCTTCACTTGACACCACCTTGAAGCATCATCGATGAACGTCACAAAGTATCGAGCTCCTCCAATCGATTCGACTCGGGCTGGTCCCTATACATCCGTATGAATGATTTCCAAAAGTTCCGTTGACTTCTCTGATTTAAGTGGAAATGGAGACCTCGTCATCTTCCCCTGAAGACATGCTCCGCAATCGAAATGCTCTGAGGGTCTATCCAACTTCAATCCTAGGATAGTTCCCTTCTTCTGGGCTTCCTGAAGGTCTCTCACGTTCAAGTGACCCATCTTGCGATGCCAAACCTCTGTAGAACTAGCTAAATCCTTGTTGATTTCCATTTCCATTTCGCTTAATTTGTCAATAGTATCGAAAAAATTTCGGAGATGTTCTTGGACATCTCCTCCATCCTCCATTTTCATGTGGAGTAACTGTTTCAAAAGGGTAGCCTTCCTGGCTGGTCCCTTCGATTGATAAATCGTTTCGAGTTTTTCCCATGTCTCCTTTGAAGTCAAGCAACCCTTTATTTGCTTCAATTCTGACCGGCTGATAGATAAAATAATATCAGACTTAGCTTTTCCGTCATTCTTATTCCACAGGGTTACTGCTGCTCGCGAGGCCGCATTTCCCTCCACGAGTTCCGGTTTCACGATCTCACCAGTTACGTACTCCCATGCGTCATTTTTGATCAGAAGAGCTTCCATCTAAATTTTCCACGTGTCGTAATTCTCTTTATCCAATAGCTCGATTTTCACTGTCCCGGGCGTCATCTTTCTACCAGTCAAAAAAATCGTTCCCAAAGAAATGTCAAATTACGTACACGTCTCAGCTTCAATTACTCCTTATCCCTCTCATTTATATTTCCTCCTTTAACTCCGTTATGCTGGGCCCATAACCTGTTGTTGCAGTAATTGTTTAGAAGAAATATTACGGACTCAGTAATCTAAGAAAATTAATTTATTCAATTAAAAGCGTATCAACAGCTGAACTGTCATGCTACGAATGACGATCACACAAACATCAGAACAGAGACGTTCGAATAGTTGAAATACGATCGTGTGCCTTTCGCATACTCCTCTACTTCCAACAGAAATTAATTTAGAATAGGCCACAATACATGAGAATTATAAGAAAACGATAAATGGAAGATTTACACGTTTTCAGATTTATTTATTCTTAAGACGACGCTCGCAGTCGCGTTCGCATGTAATAATTAAAAAGAGTTTTTAATTGGTATAATTGAACGTTACATTTATTTAAGTTTCGCCCCCCTTCCACCCCCCCCCCCCCCCTCTTCAGGGGGCTTCCCCCCCTGGACCGCCGTCTTGCGCCCCCACCCGCTCCTTCTTAATCGTTGTCGCACTTTTCACTTCAATCTCGACATGAAATAGTACACGAAGAAAAAAATAGCCGAAAAATTACTGTGCTTGTACGGTAAAATGGGTTCATTGGGCGGACCGTAATTTTTCTGGTAATTTTTTCTCCATGTGGTATGCGGACGATAAGCAACAGGTTATGACTCATGTGTTTCTTCGCACTTATCATAACCTGCCACTTATCGCCCTGATATCACAATGAACTATAAAATTTAAGAATGTTTTGCCAAAACCCACATTGTTCACCATAACTATGATATTGTCTCATATGCCAGTATCATATTTGAGCCACACATTATTAATAATCTTAATCCTTCCATCGGGGCATCCTAGTGATAAATTAATGTCTGAAAATTACTTCTTGTAACATTACGCTTAGGGAAAAAACGTGACCGTGTGAACTTTGATCGAGATGTTGCATGGGTTAGACACTCAAGATATTGAAACAAAACCGCAAGCCATTTACTTTATACTATGGAGAATCTATAGCCGGCGAGAACAAGTAGGTGACCGGACCATATAGGCGTGATATCTTCGATTGATTTTCGAATTCCTCTAAAAAAAATTTGACCGCCATTACGAGTCGAGCAACGCGGCAACACCGCACAACAGCTGATCGAGGTCGGTAAAGTTGGGGACGATAATTCTATGCTGGAAGCATATGGACCCGTATAACACACACAACATTCATCTCGCTGTTACAACCCCACTCTAGCCGAAGCGTGCGATGTTGCCCGATCAAAATTCGACTGTTAAATTTAAATTCCACTGCAGTCACAAGTCCTCCATTATTTATGAACCTTTTCTTTAATTATTGTTTTTGAGACCTGAAAAGTACGCCATAACACTTCTAATTTGATGAGCAGAATAATTTGCAACATGAATGATTTAATTAGTCAATTTCATTTTTCTTTTCAACTGAGTTGTCCGTGCCCGCTGGCTTGGCGCAGTGGGTAAGTTCGTTGCCTCACATGCGAAAGGTTCCGAGTTCAAATCCCGGCCGGGTAGAATGGTGCGATCTAACCATTTAAGGATATCCAAGTAGTTCAGGCAATTTTTTCGGGGGGAAATCCCCTTCAGAGTTTATAGACTAGACCAAGAGTATTTTTTAGGCGCAGTAAATAAACTTTAGTTTCCGAACATATTTTCGAGAAAACGATTTTTGAAAGAATGAAATTTAATACATTGCGTCCATAAGAGCTGTATACTCCCACCTTCAATCCAATAGTTCATAGTCTTAAAGCGTTTTCTCGTACACATAACCATATATGACTTTGTTCGTTACACTCTCTAGTTTTTTTTGTGACATTAAAAAACATAAGTTTCTGGACAGATAATTGCAAACAATCAAATTAAAAGCTTCTTGATTGGTAGGACGGCCATATTGGGTGGTTTGAATCCGTGCGTTCCTGACGTCTGGCAACAGTCCGCTCAAGTGACTACTCGGACCGAATTTACGAGGTTATATACAACACATGTGCAGTGTTGCCGTATGATCATTAGAGGTTGCACCAACGAGAGTCAAGTGTGAAATTGAATAAAATATTGTTCACAATATTCATTGAAGAAATTCCCAAAAAAATGTATTCAATAATGAAAAATCCGAAAAAGTATGGGGACGGCAAGATTTTCGACAAAACTGAAATCTTGCTTGAAAAAAAGTTGCCAATTTGAACGAAGTACTTGGATATCCTTAAAGTCTTGATCATCATCGCAGTATACCCTAACCGGGTCGAAGCGATGTAAAAAAACGATTAAAAAAACTGAGTTGTCCACTTGATAGGTTAAACATCCTTAATGCGATAGTCTACTAACATTCAGGATTATTGACACTCAAAAATATAATGTCGAAAGCACTGCATCTCGTGATTTTGCTCTCTTGTTAACTTCTACAATCGCATATTCCCAAGAATTAGAGTTATATTCTCAAAAACAAAGATTTCCTTCTCCCTTTCATGACAAGAATACGAAATTTAATTGGAATAATTCACCACTTCACTAGTGTAATGAATTAATACTTACAAAAGCTGGTACTCCACCCTCTCCAGTGAGGGTATCACCTCCTGCCTCAGTGTGGGTGGTCCACTGTATATTATCATAATTGAATATCACGAAAGTGGAAGACTCATCAGTAGCTAGAACCATCTGAAAAGTATTCGTTTTGTGCAGAGAATTTTTAACCCCACCGGCAAAGGAGACATTCTTCCACGTTGCGATGACAACGTGATTCGGATCAAAGGAGTCAGCCCCAATTCTTCCCTCCCTGATGTCCTTCACTCGCTCCCTCAACTCGACTCCAAACTGGTCATTTCTTTCTCGCAGATTTTCTTCTTTTCTGTGGATTCATCAATTTTTACATTCTTTAGCGGAAGCGTCTCCTTGGATTACATAAAAAAACACAAAAAAGTATTCGGGAATGGTGCCTTGGTAAAACACTCCGATTATTTCTGACTAGGTGATAAAAAATGAATCGGCGTTAATGATGTTTCTGTCTTTGCCCGTTGAATTCCGATTGGCTGGTAGGTAGAGGTTGGAGTTTGAGAAAATAATGAGAATTAATAGCATCAAGGCCCTTGATTGTAAAGTAATCCCCTTTGGAAAGGCTTTTGGCCCTTTTTTGGAAAGTAATCGGCCGTTATCGTCCGATTACTTTCCAAAAAAGTGGTTGATAGATCTCATATTGCTCATATAAATCTTTAATATTTATTGCTCATTTAAATAATTATATGCGTAATGTGAGATCTATCAACCACTTTTTTGGGAAGTAATGGGACGATAACCCTTGTTCCCATTAATTCTCATAATTTTCAGAAACTCCAAACTCTACCTACCAGCCAATCGGAATTTAACGGGCAAAAACAGAAACATCATTAACGCCGATTAATTTTTTATCGCCCAGTCGGAAATAATCGGACTGTTTTACCAGGGTGGGGTTATGGTAACGGAGTCATAATTTTCTATTGAGGCAACAGCTAAAATACAGTAGAGGGTTCGTATAAGATACTGTCGGACTGAGGAGATTGTAGCCCTGAGTGTCAGAGGTGGGAGACAACGATTGTAGTGGGGATTGGGAAAAGTGGGGGTAAATTTGAGGACCACAATTTCCTCATCCTCACTCCTCAGTTCAACCAAACCTTGCGCTTCGAGCGTTCCCGGCCTGCCTGGCTGAGGATCGGTAGCGACAGCCCCAGCAAAGTGTCAAAAATGCATAACATTGTAATGCTGCCTAGCCGCTGGGTTCAACCATGCAACTGCAAGACATATTTCTACCTGGATAAGTAATCCGTGATTTTGAAACTGACACGCCTGCCAATGATGATAATAAAAGGCCATATATAGGGGAGGGTGGGGCAAAATGGAACAGCGGGGCAAAATGGAACGGTGCAAAAAACGAATATAGAGCGAAATTCAGACAACTTTTTTTTTCACCTTATGTGAGCTCAAAAATGATGTTCGGGGTTAAGTCAGTGACATCAGTCTACTCTGTAGTTATCGCTATCTTGTAATCTAAGGGAGATAGGAGAATTTTGATAAGGACCTTTTTGTAGAGAATTTCAAGGGCTATAAAAAAAGGTTATTATAGAAATTTTGCTATCTTCATTGTAAAAAAGATAATTCAAGGTTAAAAAACTGAAGAAAAATCTGATATCTCTAAATTCAATTATAGAGTATAAACGATTATAGATAAATAAATGAGAGCTTTGGAATATTATTATTGTTCTATGAATAAATTGAATATTAAAAAAAGGTCCTATAGTTTTTGAAAACCAAAATTCACTACCGTTCCATTTTGCCCCACTCTTCCCTTTTCTTGAAAATTAATAGAAATTTTGAAAGTTAAGGTAAATGAATTTTTGAATTTTCAATGGATTGAAAATTGAAGAATACATTATATGATTTAGTTTACTAAAGTTTACTAATGTTTTGTTTGAAAATTCAGATGAGTTGAGGAATTCTCATCCTTCTGCTCTTCAAAAATTTCGAATTCCAATGAATTTTCATTATTTTTCTCCTGTATCGAAATCACTCACTGTTTTGAAAATATTTAGACAACTGCTCATGAAATTTCAGTTTTCTTTCAACTATTTAGGAGAGGAAAATGTCACATTTTGTCTCAAATCATTCGTTCCGGTGTCATACACTGAGAGAAAAATCGTCATAATATCACAAAACTATTTTCTTGTGCCAAATATTTCATCTCTCGAGGAGAAATTTCTTGGAATAAGAATTTTTTGTACCGTTCCATTTTGCCCCGCATTCCATTTTGCCCCGCCGTTCCATTTTGCGCCACAGTTCCATTTTGCCCCACCCTCCCCTAGTAAAATGATAAAATGGACTGCTTCTCATCGTCATTAGCTCACGATTGGCGGAGTGGAATCAAACGAAATCCTTATTTATTGTTAATTTTGATTTTCATAATTTGACCCACCCCGTTTTGCCCCACCTCTATTATTTATTACCCCCTCTACTGGGTTCCCACTTTGTCGTAGTGAGGGGGCTCGGTCGCGGGCGGTGGAGGTCTTAAGGACTACCGCTGCCCGCGGTCGCTAAGAGGAATCCACCCAATCCATGTGTGTGAGCGGCGTAAGCCATGGCCTCGGCCATACCGTGCCTAAGGATGCGTGGCACAGGGGGAGCTGTGTCGCTAACGGGGCCTCTCAGAAACCTGGGCGACCTCTGAGAGTAGTCTTGGGTGTAACTCACCCGAGACAAGCCAAGCCCTGGGCAATCGCGGCAATGCACCAGGTGAAAACGCTTAACCGCGGTACTCGTGGGACTAAAATGGAAACCAATTTAAAAAATCTTAATATTGAAAAAGCAACTTCGGGTGGGGCCAGCGATGGCGAACACACGAAGTCTGACAAGGCTGACCAGTCTGGTACCGATGTGAATCGGGTCAGACTGAGTGGAGCCGAGAGAAGACGTCGCAAGAGAGCGAAGCTGCATCAAACCTCGGGGGCGATTGCAACCTTGACGGATGCAGCAGCGAAAGTCGATGATGGGAGGGGGGGAGGGGGCTACGAGGAAGGCAATAAAACGCCTTCCATCAAAGCGTACTACGCCAAGCCCCTCAGTCAGACCGAAAGAAAAGAGAATGAGAACGCAGGATCAGGGCA